GAACTTCGTCCATATTGACGATTTGGCATTCCTTAATTCCTTTCTGAGCTCTTAAATCCTTCATATAATTCAAAAAGGATTCTTTTTTTTTCTTTCCAGTCATCTGGAAGAATTTGGCCGATCGTCGTTTTACTTCGCACAGATAATTTCTTTCTTCTCATGAACCGATGGCACCAATTTGGATTGCCGTTAAAATTGGAAATTCCCATGTTTGCAGATATCTTTTTGGCTTGTAGACGAATTTTAATGGTTGATGCAGGGAGTCCTTTCTCGCGCTGTTCAAAAATCCATTTTTTAGAACATCTTCTAGCTCAGGCCAACGCACAGTTCCACTTCTTCTTGCCCTTTTCATTTTCGGCATGCTTTCTAGGCTTTCTTTTTCCGACCGCCATCGGCGAATACATCTCTCATCTACTTCAAATTCCCGCGCTGCTGCACGATTTCCTGTACTTTCCGCTCGTTCAATAACTTGCAGTTTGAAAGCAGCTGTATAACTCTTATGTCTTTTAGGAGGCATATTGTAAAATGAAAAAATATTAGCAAATACTAAAAAGAAAACTTTCCGCAATTTAATTTCTCCACAAAGCACGTTGTAACAAAGTGAGAAAAAATGTGAAAGAGCTATCAACCACGCGGTTTGGCGGGAACTAGATCGAGATCAACCCACTTTCTTTAAGGGGTGGTGGGTTATCGATCTTTTGTCATAATTCGCCATCTTTTGTCATAATTCGCAACTATTTTGATTAAAAAAAAATTTCTTTTCTTTGAAAAATGTAAAATTTATTTTTAAAATATCGTAAACGCCGCAATTAAAATTGTAAAACTTTTAAACTCGTAAACGCCGCGGCGTTTCTTCCATAAATTACGGTAGGTTAATTTCCTTTACGAGAAAGAAATTTCACAAAATATTTGTTTATCATGTCTAAAAAGTATAAACAATACTTATGGACTAATGAATCTTTACCAAGAAGAACATTATATCGTTACCGATCGAATATGCTGCTTGGTCTGAATGAGGCTCACGAGAAAAATCTTAACACGCAAAGTACGAGTCAAGAACCAGAAATCGATGAAACAATCAGTAGCGAATCGAGCATTGTATCTGACAAATTAGATGTTGATGATAAAATTTCATTGGAAGATAGTTTTTCGATGGAAGATGATTTGGAAGATATTATTAAAAATGGTAATAAACCACTGTGATTCTGCAGATGTAACAAGTTTAGAGGCTTTCGTGAGCATTTTAGCCTACTCTATTAAATTTAATCTTTCAAACATTTTTGTTGATGGATTGTTAAAGTTAATAAAAACTCTATTGCCACCAAGTAATCTTCCAGAAAGTAAATTTATATTCTATAAAGGCACATCATCAATAAGCAATGCATGTGAGCTACATCTTCATTGTCCCCATTGTGATAGTTACACTAGTAAATTATGTAGTGAAAATAAAAATTTAGAATGTCTAACGTCCTCAGAATCTTTCAATAGTGATGATTCAATAAAAAAATGGGCATTTTTTTAAAATGGCTCTTGCATATCAATTGCAAATAATACTTGAAACTGAATATCACCTTCATAGTATTAACTTTTTTAAATCCAAATTTAACAATTTTGATACTTACAGAGACATTCTTAATGGTTGCTTATATCGCTCTACTGATGGTTTGCTAAATTCAAATAATGTATCAATTCAATTTAATGTTGATGGCATTCCAATTTATCGAAAAAGAAAATACGATATTTGGTCGATTCAGGTGAAAATTAACGAACTTGAACCACTAGAAAGAAAAAGGAATATTATGATGTGTGGCTTTTGGTTTAGCAGAAAAAAACTCAATCATGAATGTGTATCTTGTGCCATTTGTCGACGAACTTTATAAGCTACAAAAAGAAGGCCTAAAATGGATAGATAAAAGAAACGGAGAAAAGCTGCTCAGAAGGACTAAAGTATTTACTTTATTATGTAGCACCAGCTCGTTGCAAAATTTTAAATAATTCAATGAACAATTCGATTGCGGATTTTATGAAGAGGAGGGAGAAAAAGTAATGAAAGGAAAAGGCTAGTGTCGTATCTATCCATTTAATGGAAAGTTAGCTCAGAGGAGAACCTTTGTAAACTGCATTGAGAGTGCAGAAAAAGCAATCTCCACCGGTAGTGCTGTTAAAGGAGCATCTGTATTGATGAATCTTTATCTAACTTTCAAACATGGTTTATGGTTTTATATCTGATTATATGCATTGCGTGCTTCTTGGTGTGATAAGGCAACTTGTATGTCTTTTTATCGAGAGTTCGGGCCATAATTATTCGTTTATTGCCAAGGACCTTCGAATGCTGGATGCTCGTATAAGAGATCTTAAACTTCCTCATGAAGCTTCACGCAAGTTACGTACAACTAAAGATATTTCTTTCTGGAAAGCATCAGAATTGCAAATATTTTTATTATCATAACTTGTGCTTTTTAAGAATGTATTGAACCATCTTGTTTATAAGCATCGGCTTCACTTTGAACATGGTATAACTTTACTCTTGGGGTCAAACATCTCAGCAGATAATATTGAGAAAGCAGATGATTGTTTAAAAACGTTTGTGTTAGATGTTCAGAATATTTATGGTATAGCAGAACAATCATATAACATACATCTTTTGCTGCACTTGTCCTGATGCTGTAAGGGCTTGGGGTCCTTTATGGGCAAATGCTTGTTTTACTTTAGAAGATAATATTAAATGCAGATTGCTTCAGCTTACATTAGTAAATCACTACTTGGAATACCCTTTGTCTAAACAAGAGATAAGAAATCATCAGATATTAAAATTTGTCGATGAGATGCAAGCAAAACAATCTGTAACGAAACAAGAACCAGAAATATATCAGGGATTGATTGATTGATGTAAATTTTTGGCGCAAGAGCCATGGTTTGGCTAGCCCAAACCTCGGTAAAAATTACTGTAGCTTTGTTAAAATCAGAACAATTAGGCTGAAATGAGCAACGTGTTCAAAATTAAAACTAATTTAAAATTTGCCAACTAGGTTATATCTAGAACTAAATCAAATTGTAAAATCCGATATGTTTGATGTACAGAATTAAATTAGGATGAGGTGTGTCTCCAAGTAAAAATGATAAAGTCGGAAAGTCACAGTTAAAGTACTGTCGTCTTTTAGATTTAAATTTCATACACTGGGTCAGAAAATGTTTTACTGTAAGAGACTCTTTGGCACAGTACCGCCTGAGGATTTGAAGGAACTTGGTTTAGGCGGTGGCATTGTAAAGTTGCTGTCTGAGAGTATCCCCCAAAAGACTCAAATTGGGTGATATACACTGTTAGGATTTTCATAGGAATTAAATGTGCTGACTATTTATTAAGAAACGGTGTACCAGACGGGTATGCAAAATTACTGTTCCACAACCTGCCATTGTTACGGCATATAATACATGTATGGGTGGAACAGATTTGTGTGACAGATTTCAAGCGTATTACCGTTGTTATATTCGAACCAAGAAATGGCCAACAAGAGTATTCACACGTTTTGTAGATTTAACCATTTGAAATTGTTGGATTATGTACATCCGAAAATGCAACCTAAATGAGATTTCAAAGAAAGATAGATTGTCCCTTCTACACTATTGCATAGAAATTGCACAGGCACTAATGAAGTATGAGGGCAAAGTAATTGTTCAACCTCGACTGATTTCTACTTCCGGATGTGAAACCGAGAATAAACCACCCCGAAAGCAACGTCAATCAACACCCACTTTCTAACGTGAGATACGATAAGATTGGACATCTGCCACATTTTATGGATGAGAAGTTTGCTTCAAAGTGCATATTTGAAGGCTGCAAATCCATCAGATCGAGAGTGATATGTACAAAGGGCAATATGTACCGCTGCGTTCTAAAAAATAATTGTTTTGAAAAATTTCATGTTAAATATTATGTAAAATATTTATTGGTCTAAATATGTGTACAATTTTCACAATAAATAAATCAGAAGAGCAAAAATGGTATCTCTCTTTTACTTAGGATATTTATTATTCTTTTAATATGTACCGAAGGTGCACATATGTGTACGGGTCAGTAAACAAAAACTAATTATTAAAATTTAGGTTTTTTTATTTAATTATGTTCTTAAGTCTACAAATGCATAATTAAACCCTTAAAATAATTTTTTTTCACCATTTAAAATATATCAGGACTGAAGAGAAGGTGTTTTATTTAAATATACATATTAATATGACAAAGCAATATATAAAAATTAAAAAAAAAAATTTTTAAAAACGTAAAAATCTAAACAATTTCATTAGCAATACAAAGTAAATTTCTTTTTTTTTTTTTTTTTTGATCCCATACGTTAGGTCCAAGATTTACAAAGCAAAAACTTTTGTTGATTTTAAAACTTAGTTTTTTTAATAAATAGTTCAAATTCAAAAAAATAGCAAAAATTAAAATTATTTTTCAAATAATTGTTCTTTTTATGATTTTTCGTGATTAGGTCTATAAAATTAAAATGAAAAATATGAATAACCAGTGAGGTAGGCATCAATATATCACAAAAAATTTAAGTTACTAACTCTCATTTCTAACTAAAGTGCAAATAATATTCTTATGAAGATACATATAATAACTTAAAATTTTTTTTTGCAGATATATCGAAAGATATGCTTCTAAAACAGTAACTATATAATTACTTCAATTTTACTGCAGATTTAAAATCTGGTTATTTTCTGAGCTTATGATTTTAAATTGACTTCACTGGAAATACAGTATTTTTGTGGTTGATAGCTCAAAACATTTTTGAAATAAATTACTGAAAAAATACCTCACAATTACTGCAAAATAACTAAAGTACGAGGGTTGTCCATAAAATAAGGTTCCTAAGGAGCTGCGGACTCTAGGAACGCTGTTAGGATATGGCGAGACTGGCGTGTAACTTGGTTCCATTTCTCCCAATTCCCGCCCCGGCGAGCTGTCTACAACATTCTTGTCTTGGTAGCCGTGAAAGATGGAGCTTCCATTTGTTTCTCACGCCAGGTGCGAATTACGCTCTGTGATTCGTTTTTTGTGCACGAAAAACGTTCCTCCGATGGTCATTCATTCCCAACTGTGTGAGGTGTACGGGGAAAAGTGTATGAGTGTGCAACATGTGCGCAAATGGTGCAGAGAATTCAAAGACGGATGTACAGACATCAATGAAGAACAACGTTCTGGCCGTCCATCGTTTTCGGACGAAGCGATTACGAAAGTGGAAGTTAGCGAGATGATCCCTGATGTCATCAAGTCCTGCATTCAAAACATTTTGAGAGACCGCTTACGATATGCCAAGGTTTGTGCAAGGTGGGTCCCAAAAATGCTGACGGATGACAACAAACGGCAACGTGTGAAAGCAGCCCGCGAATTTCTTCGTGCCTACGAAACCGATGGCGAGAAATCTTTGGACTTAGTCGTCACTGGGGATGAGACCTGGGGTCCACTACATGACACCGGAAACAAAAGAACAATCCCGTCAGTGGAAACATCCAGACTCGCCGAAGCCGAAGAAGTTAAAGCAAATTCTGTCTGCGATGACAAGTGTCTTTTGGGACAGGAAAGGGTTGTGCGAATTCCTGCCTACCGGCACAACAATTAATGCGGATCTCGCTGCTGTCAGACTGTAAAATATTATGTGCTTATGCGCATCGTATTTTTTGTTAAATAATTTATTTATTATCTATCAGTTTGAAGATGGCAACGAGAAGAGTTTTTGTGGTTGCCATGGTAATGGTTTAGAATGTAAATAGTTTTTGAGTAAGAGATTTGTTTTTTTTTTTTTTGTAACTGCGATGCTGTAATTTTGATGTTTAGTTAATAAATATTCCTTTTATATTAAACGAAATAGTAGAGTTTTAATTATTTGATTCGAAGCCCTTTGAGTTTTATTTGAGGGGTCAGTTTGTATTTTTTGACATATGGCGTCCGCGACAGGACTTTGAATTTCTGTTGAGATTTTAAAAAACGACTATTACTGAATCTGAGTGAAAATGGAAGTATTGAAGCAAGTGAGAACACAGCTTCGTAGATTGTTTACTCAGTCATGCAATGATTTTGCAAAAATTGAGACTGATATGAACGATGAAGAGAAATTGTTGAAATTAAGAATCATATCAGAAAAAGGTAAGCAATTACTTGTATCTGACGAAAATGTAAGAACTGAGTTGTTTTCGGAGTTTCGAGATGAAAAGGAAATTGATAAAGAAATAGATGATTTCGAAGCGTATATTGATAGAATTAGAGTTTTTGACATTAAATTGGAAAATTTACTTTCTTCTATTTCTGAAAAACATAATATGTCCGTTACTAGCCATTTAGTTGTTGGTCCGACAAATTTGCAGTATCCAAAGATTAAGCTTCCAGTCTTGATGGAAATTTGAGAAACTGGCTCGGTTTTTGGTGCCATTTGAGAAAATTGACAAAGATCCAAATATTGGCGACCATAATAAATTCCTTTATTTATCGCAATCCATATTAAAAGGATCACCTGCTGATGAACTTTTAAGAAGTTTTCCCCCGAGTGGAGAGAGTTATAAAACTGCAATTAATCAACTTAAAACTCGGTATGGAAAGGAAGAATTGTTGATTCAAGTGTATGTGAGAGAGTTATTAACTTTAGTTTTATAGAAACAAAGCAAATCTGAGAAATCTCTGCGGAAACTTTATGATCAACTTGAGTCAAAACTTCGATCATTAGAAGTGTTAGGAGTAACAAAGAAAAATATGCTGCTATGTTGCTTCCTCTAGTTGAGTCGTCTATTCCAGATATTCCAGAAGAAACACTCAAAGCGTGGGAAAGATATCGGACTATAAATAAACAGTCAATTATTCATGTTGTTCCAAATGCTGAATGAGCTGAACCAACTACCAAGACTGAGTTGGATACTTTGCTAGAGTTCTTAGAGGGAGATGTAGAGGCTGATGAGAGAGTGAACGTGGTATCTTAATCCTTAGTGAGAGGTACAGATGATAGTGAGAAACGAATAATTCCCACGGGTGGTAGATTCCAGTTGAAACAAAAATTTGGTAAATCTGCACAAGTACCTTCGACTTCTGAATTGCTATACATAGTAAAACCTGTATATATATTGTTTGTTTTTATAATACATAACTATACCATATGGTAAATAAATGCTAACTGCAAAATAGCCAGACTTTTTTCACTTGTAAAGTTGTCTATATTTCTAAAGAAGTTAGTATTCCATTATTAAATATATAATTAAAATCCAGCAATACTTTGTCACAATATTGGTTTTTAAAATCTACACATTTGAAAGATTTGTTAATTCAAAAGTAACTTACTTTGTTTATATATTTTAAGATAGTTGTTCTTGAAAGCAAATAAAATTTTTCAAATGTTATAATATTCTTTTATTATAGATTTAACAACAGTTTTTTTGACTATTTTGGCATGGTTTAACTCTAATCGCAGCGAAGCGTTTTCATGAAGATTTATTATTAATGAATGAAAGTTACATTGAAGATCTTGCCATCTCAGCCAAAAATCCACCTCTATTTGGCGCAAAATAAACTTGGGTTGTTCAGTTGCTGTCCCATTCGAAAAAATTCAGGAAAAATCCAAGCTTTATGAAGGAAAAGGTAATTTTTAATATTACAATAGATTTATTCTTATGGGTATTGTTTTATAAATAAATAATTAATTAGGAAAAAAAAACTGAAATATGGATTCCCCCCCCTTGATTCCTCATTTAACTTGGTTTAATAATATTTTAGGGGCAACTGTGGTTCACACTTCAAATGGAACACGGGCTTATACTTGTTGTCACCGCAATTATGAAAAGAGTTCATGATTTGCAATCTTCTTCAGAAATCATTTTTGTTGATTCGACTGCCAGCTGTGACAGTTCAAGCGCGACTCTGACTATATTGTTATCTGCAATGAAAGTTGGAGCTTTACCAATCGCTGGACTCATTCATGAGAGTCAAACAGTAGAATGTTATGCAACGGCATTTTCGCTACTGAAAAGAACATTTCCTTTTTGCTTCGGAAAGAAACAGAAGTCATGAAATTCTCTAAGTGAAATTTTGATATAATAACTGTTTTTTATGAAATTCAGAACTAGATTTAAATTTTTAAGTTTAAAAAAATATAATTTCTTTATTTTTTGTTTATTATTATTTAAATTACTGTTTAAAAATATTTGATTTTACCATTTCAAGCATCGACGCCATTATGTAAGAAATAAAACAAAAGTGTATTAGCAATGCATATTTAATATGTTACCAAATCTGTATTTGATTTGACAAGTGCTAAACATGCGATCTTTAGACTAAAATTTTCTGTAAAATACATTTTCTACACAAGAGTTTTTTTTTTTTAACTAATTTGGCATGGAGCTAAATTTCCTTTAATTTGTCTTCATTATTATTTTTTTGTATTGTGCTGTCATAATTTTTCATTGAAATAAAATTTACCACATAAAGTATAACGTTGATTTTCTGCGGTTCACTGTATATTTTGACTATGGTACTGTCGATACATACTGCGATATTAGGCTGGAATATTTTAAAAATATGTCCAGAAAAGTCGAGGAATTTTCTTTGTTTAATAAGAAAAAAGTAAGTTAAATACAGATAAAAGTAAGTTAAATTTAAAGTCTTGTTATGTATATTTCAACTACAGTTGTCATCTAGCGGCAAGATTTGAAACTATATCGTTTGAACACAATGTATTTTGGGAGGGAAAAAAAAATCACTTTTGTAATTACAATAAATGAAGCAAATGGATCATCATTTTCTCAAATCTTATTTTTGTTATTGATGATTAAAATATGTCAGTAATTTTATAAACAATCTGTGCAACTTCTTTGTCATTTCCATGTTGCCCAGGCAGAATGGAGATGGTTGCACTGTTGCAAAACTATCGATTTAAAATTGAAGCTTGTCTTCATGAAGTTATTTCAAGCGGTAGGAATGAAAAATTTTTAAAAAAATATTAAATAAATCATTTTAGATATTTTTTGCAGGGAACAAATTATTTTATTTGAAAAATAATTAACCCTTTTCACATTAATCGGATATCATTTTTCAGGATTTAGTTAATTTGAAAGCATATTTTTAATATAGGCTTCTTAATTATTTTTTCTTTTCTTTTTTGAAAATCTTTGTATGTTTTTCCCAGTTTTATCTATATTTTTAATTTATTTTATGATTTATAAGTTATATATATTTGCAACTCTTACACAGTTTCTGACTTAACTTTTATCCTTTGTGTCTTTATTGGGGTTCTTATGTATACTATGTCCATACTATTTTCACAAAGGTCATAATTAATTTTTGTTAGTTGAAATTGATACATTGTTGGCAACATTTTGTTTAAAAAAAGTTTTATATTACAAGATACTTAATCTGTTGCCACTCATATAATCTAATTTCATTTAAATTTTTCTTTTATAACAATCTCAGGTTATGTACGCTAATTCTGAAGAAAATCTTCAACTTGCTTGCTTTGCAAAATTTTTTCAACGAAAAGCAGAGTGGACAAAAGTGGATCGACAAAATTTTTTAATCAGAGGGCACCACACAAATAACTTTGCGGAGGCATGAATTAGAATTTTAAAAGATGTTATACTTCAATCGCACTAAAGCTTATAACAGCGTAGCTCTTATAGATTTCATTGTTTCTGTGTGGGAAAACTATCTAATGCTGAAGCTTTTAGAGTTTGACAATGGAAGAAGGATTATGCTCTATTCAAAACTTGTAAAAAACATTGACATTACTTTTGAACAGTGCAAACAAATAAGTGAGAATGTGTTTGTGGTACCAAGTGCCACAGATAATAATAAAAAATATGATGTAAACACAGAAATAGGAATGTGTAGCTGCATTAGTGGTAGAACTGGCTCTTTTTGTAAGCATCAGTTTTACCTGCAGAAAAACCTCGGGACATCTATTCCTACATCCCCGATTTTAAATTCATCGGAGAGGCATGGTTTAGCTTTGGAAGGGGGGATGTCCTCCTCCTAGTTTCTATGTCAATATAAAAGAAAAAGATTGTAAAGTTATTGCAAATCAAATAGAGGACATAAGTGAACATCAAACATCAGCAGTTACCTCTACTGATACATTTCAACATTTTGCATCAGTAGAAGAAAAACAAGAATTACTGGAACAATTTAAATTATTGCTAGATCAGGACATAAGTAAGCCAACGGTAAAAAAATTTTCTAAATGTTTCAGAGATACTCCTAAGTCTGATGTTGGTATGGCATTGACAAGAATGGCCTGTTCTTTGCAAGCGCATAAGAGCATCAGAGTTAAAAAAATTAGAGTGCAGCCAACCTCAATTACAAGAAGACGTTTTGGGGCCTCCAGAACAAGCAGCCGTATTCAGCAAGGCAGGCCCATTAGAATCAAAAGACAACATACTCTTTCTGAGCGCATTCAAAAAAATATTAGACATGCTAAAAAGCATGGAGCAAACTATTAGCAACTTTTAATTCTTTTTATTTAACAGAAATCATTGTTTACTTAACAATTCTAAATTGATCTATCATTTTATTGATTTTACTTATTAATTTTTGTCGTTAAAACACATTCCTTTCCTCAAAATTCAGTGGTCTTAAATAACTTTTTTTTTTGTTGCAATTTACATGTATCAATAAGAGACTTGTGCTAATGATTTATTCATTTAAAATATATTAAACCAAATTTTGAATTTTGTTAAAAATTTTTTTAAATGATTTACTATTTATTTTCTGCACCAGTTTTTATTACAATTCAGCTATGTAAATGTTGTAAAATTACCTTTTTATGTGCTTATTTTCACTCAAAATTTCTATTTAGATCTACGATACCTGTGCTTTTTTTTGTAAATTTTTAATATTGCTTAATTTCATTCATAAAAGTTTCTTAACTATTTCCTAAAAAATTGACCTAAATATTTTAATACAATATTAAATATATGCTGTATGCAACAGTGGTCTTGTGTGATGTTTTCCGACGAGTCCAGGTTTAGTTTGCAGTCTGATTCTCGCCGGACTTTCATATGGAGAGCGCCAGGTACCCGTTACCACCAAGACAACACCATTGAACGACACCGTTACGGTGGTGCAGGATGACTCGTTTGGGGAGGAATTATTTTTTGTTCCAGAACTGACCTGCATGTTCAGAGTGTAACGATGACAGGCCACATCTATAGGGATGTCATTCTGGAACAACATGTACGTTTGTTTCGGGGCGCCATGGGTGCTGAATTTCTGTTTATGGACGACAACGCCCGTCCTCACCGTGCAAACATTGTAGACGAATGCCTTCAATCGGAGGATATCACCCGTATGGATTGGCCAGCATACTCACCGGACTTGAATCCAATAGAGCATGTGTGGGATATGCTTGGCCGACGAATTGCAGCCCGTCAACCCCCTACCACCTGTCTACCGGATGGCATTACTTGATGAGTGGTGTAATATTCCCCAAGATGAGATTGCTAATTTGATACTCAGCATGCCTAGGCGTTGTACGGCCTGTATTGCATCGTCCGGGAGACATACTCCGTATTAACTATCATACTAACCATGTTATACTGTTTTTTGTAAATAGGTTCTTTTTTGAAATTTGCTCCAGTGAGTAAAAATCGCAATTTTCATTAATTATGTCAAACATATAGCATCTTTTTTGCTCTTTACCTTTTGTTTAATACGTAGACTTTACAAAAGAGTCAAATTTGTTTGGCTTCTGTTTCTTTCTGTGCCTGAACTTCATTATCCTTAATTTATGGACATGAGTGTACAAAACTGTCAATTAATGATGTTGTTTGAGCTTCTTATGTTGTAGCGAGCAACGTCTTCTAGTTAAAAGGAAATTGTAAATGTAGTAGTAGTTTGTCTTTCGAAGCATTCGAACCTCTCGTGTGTTCAATGTTTCATTTTGGATTTTTTTAATTGTTTCGTAATAATAAACTTGTTATTTGTTTACAAAAACCAGCGACCTATTAGTTTATGAACAGTACATTTCGGCCCTTGAGCCGGAATTTCGAAATTTCGTTCGTTGAATCAGCAAAATAATAGTTTAAAATGGCTACACTAATAGCGTTAAATCGAAAAAGAGGTTCGCTTAATGCGCATCTGACTCATCAAGAAACTGCCATAACTGATGATACAGCTGTTTAGTTGGATTTTATTGGCACAAGAGTCAGAAATGGCTATACTGCGCCAGGCACTATGTTAAAAGTCGGTCTCTAGGTCAAACTACTGCATTATTTTAAAGCAGAGAATATAGAATAACAGTAATATTTGAAAAACTTGATAGAGAATCGAGAAAGCAGTTCGAACTTTCTAAAAATACAGTGTAGAATTCAAAAATTCTACATGTTTTATTTACCTTCAACTTTTTAAATTTCTTTTATTTTTGGTAAACTTTATTATTTTTACTTGTAAGAGTTCAGTTTTATTTTAGGTATTTAATTTAATTTAAATTTTAGACAAATAAATTTTTAAAAAGAAAAAGTTATTAAACTGTTTCTTTGAATAATAGTGAACAAGTTTTTTTTTTTTTTAAAAAACATTTGTTCGGTTAGTTTCTTTTTGAGCAGACAGGTGGCAGCATCAATAATGAATTACTTTCAGTTTATTCAGTTTAAGTTTTTTTTTTCTGCTGATTTAATTTATTTCTATTAATTTTTTTTAAGCTTTGTTAAATTAATGAGATTTTTCACCAATATGCAAGCTATTTTTATTTTTTGATTATGGTTATAACAATGATATTATTTTTCGAAAATTATTTCTCTTTGATAGTTACGAAGTGTTGGCATTGGTGTTTTTGTTGAAATATGTATAAAAAGGAATGGGGGCTAAAAATTCCCCTTGCCTGATTGCTAAACAACTGTACGTCGGAGCTCTCTTCGTTGTCGGGTCTTCACGTGTGGATAGAAAAGCTATGTGGAAGCCGATTGATAGCGTGCCATGTGGGCACAGTATGTGTAATTCGCCATGTGTGGGAATAACGTCGCCCAAGACCGTGTAACCAACCTGAAATACCATCCTGTCCGTGCCAGGAGGCACGTGGTATGATTGATTTCGCTTTTAATATTCCATGGAAATTCAGTTAACATGAACTATGAACAATTAATTTCCATCTCATATTTAACTAAATTATAAAGTCACCTTATTGTGTAATTACCAATGGCCAACCATTTGCATTTAATCATCTCTAAAAGAAATTTATACTTATAATATGTCAGCCTAAATTTTATTTACCATGCAATTTCAATCAACAATAAATGTCTTTATTCTTTCTTAATGCTTTGAGTCACTTTTTGATAAAATATTGGTTTTCCTTTTTTCCATTGTATTTAAACATGTTTTAGGTAATGAAGAGGGGGGGGGTAGTATTTTCTTTTCAGCATGTGTATTTTAAAGCTTTAGGTAAGTGATTTTTTTTTTATAAATAAATCTTTTTTTTGGCTCGAACCTTTTGGCAAATTTAGGTTAATTTATTATTTTTTTTCTTTTCTTTTGTGTACTAATGTTAATTTTGTTAAAACTATACGATCTTTATGTTTTTTAGTTGTTTTCGGCCTAATCTCTAACTAATTGTACCAAAATTTTTACTCACGGTACAACGGCTGAAATTCCAAATTTCGATAATTTAATGGCATTTCTTGAAAAAAGAAGCCAGGCATTAGAAAGTATAGTTAAAAATGTGTTCTATAAATCAAAACAGTAAAGCGAAGCAAAACCAAAATCATTTCTCCTTAACTTGAATAATAATAATGATAAAAAGTGCGTTGTTTGTAATTAGCTGCACCCACTTTTTAAATGTACCAAATTTATTGATATGAATTTTAGTGAAAGACTTTCTGTTGTTAAACGTAATAGACTATGTTTAAGGTGTTTTTCTGGTAAACATTTTACATCACATTGTAAGTCGCAATATGTTTGTAATATATACAAATCGAAATCGCATCATAGCTTGCTTCATCGAGGGGAATTATTTACTCCAATTAATAATGAATTATCGGCGCCTTTTCCCACGCGCTTGAATGAAAAACCGCAAACTGAAACTGTTGAGGGGGGAAGGGAGACCTCTCTTCATATATCTAAACATCTTTCGAATTGCTTTATGACCTCTAATAAATCTGTGGTTTTGGCTACTGCTATGATTAAAATAAAAGCAAGAAATGGTGAATTAATTGAAGGACGGGCATTACTCGATAGTTGTAGTCAAAATAATGCCGTATCTAATAAATTTTCACAACAACTGGCTTTAAAGAAAACAAAAGTTTGTGCTCCTATTTCCGGACTTAATGGAATCACTACTACTCTGGAATATAAAATTAGGTCAACAATTACAAATAAGGAAAGTGATTTTATTAGGGAACTTGACTTTTTAATTGTTCCAAAAAAAAAAAANTCCAAAAATAACGGAAATAACTCCAGCTATGCCAATTTGCATCGAGGAAGCTGATTTACCTATAAATATTTCTTTAGCTGACACTAACTTTAATGTCCCAGGGGAAATTGATTTGTTATTAAGAGCTGAATGTTTCTTAGATTTATTAAAAGAAAACAAAATTCGAAGCGCTTCGCATAATTTACTGTTACAGGAAACGCAGTTTGGTTACGTGGCTAGTGGTGTTGGCAACTCTTCTGAGTTACAGTACTGTGGTTTAATGACTCAAAACAAACAATTGGAAGAAACTTTGCAAAAATTTTGGGAAATTGAGGGTTTTGGCGAATCGGACATTCTTTTGAATAGTGAACAAAAATTCTGAAATTGAAAAAACAAAGTAAAGCGACTGCAATGGGCTAAAAAACATGTTACCTGGTCTTTAGAACAGTGGTCAAAGGTTTTGTTTACGGAGGAATCAAAATTTGAATTGTTTGGAAGCAAACGAAGGCAGTGTTAAAAACAGAATATCATTTTCCTTTGCTAGAAAACGAACCAATAGATGGCGCCACGACATTTAGAACTCTCTAAGAACAACAATTTTTTAGTTAGTTTGATTATGTTATTGTCGTTGGAGACNATCGCACAGGTGAAAATTGCAATCCACACTTTCTTGTTGTCCTTCGTAAGCAACGGTCCAGCAACATCCACTCCTATAACTTCAAAAATTGAGGCGTTTTTTACTCTGTCCTCCGGGAGTATTCCTTCTGGTATTTCAGGTCTTTTCACATTAAATCGTTGACAAGTTATGCAGGTTTTCAGTACCTTTTTTACAGTTCTTCTAGCTTTTAATATCCAATAATCTTCTCTTAGAGCTACCATTAAAGATTGTACTCCAGGATGTCCAAGTTCTTGGTGTAAAATAAGGCTCTTAACAACATGATGATCAGATGGTAAAATAATTGAAACTTTAAAGTTTTCATTGTCTTCTCGCATTATGATTTTTGTTTTAATTCTCACAAGTCCATCAGCGTCTGTAAATATCGACAGGAGTTTCAGACTCTTCAATTTTTCGCCTTGGAATGAGCCTTCTTGAACCTTTTTCAAGATTTTGAGTTCAGCTTTAATAAGCTCTTCTACAGATAATTTTCCTGTTTTCTTACTGCTTGCTCTAGAATTTTCAAAAAATCTATATATCCAGCCTGTAATTCTGATCATTTTCTTGTAGGATGATATGTTGTTGTAAAATTCGTCATCTTTCATATTTAAAGATGATACAATGATTTTCTTCTTCTCGGCATACACTATTTTTTCATCAGGAACTAGATCAAAATTAGGCGAGTTTTCTCTTGATTCTTTAAACCAAGATGTTTCTTCGTGCCATTGTCTCTTCGCATAATTTACTGTTCCAGGAAACGCAATTTGGTTACGTGGCTAGTGGTGTTGTTAACTCTTCTTCTGAGTTACAGTACTGTGGTTTAATGACTCAAAACAAACAATTGGAAGAAACTTTGCAAAAATTTTGGGAAATTGAGGGTTTTGGCGAATCTGACATTCTTTGAATAGTGAAGAAAAATTCTGCGAAACTCATTTCTTGGAGACCTATTATCGAGAGGTGGATGGACAATATGTCGTTAGCATGCCTATGGAAGATCCCGCTTTATTGGGACATTCAAGAAAATTGGCGGAAAAAAGACTTGACGGCATTTGGAAACGGCTTGATCGGGATTCGAACTTAAAATCGCTCTATTCCGCATTTATGGAAGAATACAAAATTCTTAATCATATGGAATTAGTTGATGATGCAAAAAATGATAATGACTGTTATGTTATCCCTCACCATTCTGTGTATAAACCAGAAAAGAGTAGTACGAAGTTACGCGTTGTATTTAACGCATCGATGCCTATGACGTCAGGTTTGTCGTTGAATGACATTCTCTTAAAGGGTAAAATACCGCAACAAGACTTATTTTCGATTATGGTTCGCTTTCGGAAACATCGATATGCATTTACTGCAGATGTCCAGAAAATGTATAGAATGATTCAAATAAATCCGTTACAACGAAGATACCTTCGAATTTTGTGGAAGAATAGTTTAGATTCTTCTGTGGAAACATATCAGTTAAATACGGTTACTTATGGTACATCAAACGCTCCTTATTTGGCTACTCGTACACTGAAACAACTAGCTCTTGATGAATGCAACCACTTACCTCTAGCATCTTCAGTCGTTCTAAATGATTTCTATATAGATGACGTTCTTTCGGGTGAATCCACAATCGAAGGGACTAAACTTCTTCAGTCTCAACTTGTAGAATTGATGAAACGAGGAAAAATGAACTTGCACAAATGGGGTGCAAACCATCCTGAACTGCTTGCTTTCGAAAATAAAGGCATTACTGAATATAGTTTCAGCGATCAGCCAGAATGCGAGTCAGTTAAAACTTTAGGTGTTCTTTGGAACACACTTACAGACTGTTTCTTGTACAAAATAGAACTACATGAGAAGGACTCTTACACAAAACGAGATGCCCTTTCTCTCATATCAAGAATATTTGATCCCCTTGGAATGATTGGCCCTGTTATAACAAAAGCCAAAATTTATTTGCAAAAACTTTGGTTACTAAAAATAGACTGAGATCAAATGTTACCAGACTGTATAGAAAATAATCCCCGGGTTTTTTCAAACCCTGATTCGTTTGACCACAAATGACCACCCTTTAATTTTTTTTGACCACCCTTATTTTGGACATAATCCTGAAAATTAAATTCGGGGGCTAACTTCGCATTTTTGACGTAGATGACGTTCTTTCGGGTGAATCCACAATCGAAGGGACGAAACTTCTTCAGTCTCAACTTGTAGAATTGATGAAACGAGGAAAAATGAACTTGCACAAATGGGGTGCAAACCATCCTGAACTGCTTGCTTTCGAAAATAAGGGCATTACTGAATATAGTTTCAGCGATCAGCCAGAATGCGAGTCAGTTAAAACTTTAGGTGTTCTTTGGAACACACTTACAGACTGTTTCTTGTTCAAAATAGAACTACATGAGAAGGACTCTTACACAAAACGAGATGTCCTTTCTCTCATATCAAGAATATTTGATCCCCTTGGACTGATTGGCCCTGTTATAACAAAAGCCAAAATTTATTTGCAAAAACTTTGGTTACTAAAAATAGACTGGTATCAAATGTTACCAGACTGTATAGAAAAGAACTGGATTGACTTCGTTTCAACGCTCCCAGAATTGAAAAATCTCGCAATTCCGAGGTATGTCTTTCGAGAAGAAAGCATTGTGATTCATGGCTTCGCTGATGCCTCTTTAATGGCCTATGGAGCAGCGATTTATGTGCAATCGATTCCAACTGATGGAATACCTACAGCTAGACTTCTTTGCAGTAAATCTAGAGTTGCTCCTTTAAAATCACTCACCATCCCACGCCTGGAATTAAGTTCCTGTCTTCTGCTGGCTCAGTTGATGCACAAGGTTTTGCCTTCATTGAAAATTCCAATTGAGAAGGTGATCTTATGGACAGACTCAATGATTTGCCTCGCATGGATTGGTAAATCACCGCATGTTCTGAAAACTTTTGTGAGTAATCGAATAGCTGCAATCCAAGAACTTACAGAATCGTATGAATGGAGACACATTTCTTCAGAAGAAAACCCAGCAGATATAATATCTCGTGGATTAGATGCCAAAGACATTTTGACTTGCAAACTTTGGTGGGATGGCCCGAGTTTCCTTCGTGAAGAAGGCCCACCAGATAAGAACAATTCAGTTGAACTAGACTCCAACAATGACTATATTAGTGAATTTAAAACCACCATTGACTCTAACTTTGCCACTCTCAACTCTAATTCCTTTGTGAATAATTTTCTAAATCTAAGCAATAATTATTTGAAATTAATTCATGTTCTTAGTTTTATTTTCAGATTCATAGGAAATGCTCGTAAAGATCAAATAAGGGTTGTAGGTCCCATTACCTTGGAGGAATTAAGGAGGGCGGAGCTATTTCTGATTAGGGAGGTGCAAGGAGGTGAGTTTTTCTCGGAAATTGCATCCATTAAGAAAGGAGCGCAAATCTCCCCCAGAAGTAAACTAAAAGCATTAAATGTTTTCTTGGATAAGGATGGACTTTTACGCGTAGGTAGTAGAATCGCTCATGCTCAGGTAAGTTATAATTCTAAATATCCTATCATTTTACCTGCTAGACATGAATTAACTCGGATGATTATGCTACATCATCATTTAAAATATTTTCATCTTGGGTCTCAAGCTTTACTGAACACTGTGAGACAAAAATTCTGGCCGGTTAGCGGCAGAAATCTCGCGAGAAAGATCGTACATGATTGTGTAATTTGTTGTAAACAAAGTCCTGTATCAGTAACTCAAGTAATGGGTAATTTGCCAATTGAAAGAGTAGTACCTAATTTTACTTTCAATAAAAGTGGTCTCGATTTTTGTGGACCATTTTTTATAAGATCAAATAAATCGAGAAAGGGTTCGTATCAAAAAATGTATGTTGCAGTATTCGTATGTTTTGCAACTCGTGCAATACATTTAGAAATCGTATCTGATTTATCTTCCGAAGCATTAATAGCTTGTCTAAAGAGGTTTTTTGCTAGAAGAGGAAAATGCTCAACCATCTTCAGTGACAATGCTACAAATTTCAGGGGAGCTTGCAATGAGCTAAAGAAATTATTTAAACTTGTTAATACTCAAGAACCTCAATTATTAGATTATTTACTGTTAGAAGAAGTGGAGTGGAAATTTATCCCTCCACGGGCACCTCATTTCGGGGGGATCTGGGAGGCTGGGGTAAAGGCATTCAAAACTCACCTTAAGAAAACTATTGGAGATTCAAAATTGACACTCGAAGAATTTTTAACGCTTGTCACCCAAATCGAGGGAATGCTGAATTCCAGGCCAATTACTCCCCTTTCCTCAGATTCCAAGGATTTTAAGCATTAACGCCAGGTCACTTTTTAATTGGCAGACCGATCATTGCCCCAGTAGAACCCGATATAAGCACTGAAAAGGATAATCGCTTAACTAAATAGAAAAGAGTAACTAAAATGGTCCAGAACATCTGGAAAAAGTGGCATAGAGACTATTTATCAGAATTGCACGAAAGATCAAAGTGGCAATTTTCAAAAAATAATATTGCAATCGGCACTATGGTTCTTGTTAAGGAGAATCGCTTACCTGTTTGTCAATGGGTACTAGGTAGAATTGAGGAAGTTCTCCCTGGTTTAGATAATTATGTGAGGGTAGTTAAGGTAAGAACTTCCAAAGGTCTTTTTAAAAGAGCTGTAAATCGATTAAGTATCCTACCCATAAATATTGATTAATTGAACTTTATTATTGTATTGTTTATTGCTTATTGTGAAATTGGTGTATGTTTTAAGTTGTTGTGAATTTCAATTGTTCTTTTTTGTGAATTGTATTTTTATCTTTAATTATTGAACAAAGTTCAATGGGGGCCGGAATGTTTGAGCTTGTTATGTTGTAGCGAGCAACACCCTCTAGTTAAAAAGAAATTGTAAATGTAGTTGTAGTTTGTCGTTCGAAGCATTCGAACCTATCGTGTGTTCAATGTTTCATTTTGGATTTTGTAATTGTTTCGTAATAATAAAATTGTTATTTGTTTATAAGAACCAGCGACCTAGTTATTAGATAGTACACACATTAAAGTACAAGTCATTAACTTTAAAACGGGTTAAAGTAAATGACTTCACGATTTTTTTTGACCGAGATGTGAGATTTTGAAAATTTTTTGTCATTTATAGTGAAAACGAAATTATTGCGAATTCGAAAATTATTTAGTATTAATTTTTCGCAACTTTCTTATACGGATTAATTAAGTTTTTTTTATTTAAAACATTATTACAAACAAGAACATTATTTATAAATTTGCAATAAAAATTTTAAAAAACGACTCAAGAATTTTTTAAGAAATTTAACTTTATTTTGCCACCTATTTTTATACAAAATTTAAACTTTTCTCAACTGTGATAAATATAAACTTATGCGATCATTACGTAACAAATAAATAATTGATAGCTAACAAATTTTCAACAGAAAATAGTCAATAGGTTGATCTCTTTAAGCTGAAGAATAAATACTAAATAAATTTTCGAATTCACAATAATTTCGTTTTCACTATAAATGACAAAAAATTTTCAAAATCTCATATCTCGGTCAAAAAAAATCATAAAGTCATTTGCTTTAGCGCGTTTTAAAGTTAATGACTTGTACTTTAATGTGTAAATAATAATTTCCATGCAAAAAATTTTGTTACAAAGTAGCAACTTGTCAGGCTTGACATTTTGTTTTTAAAAAAAATTGCTTTGTTCAAAAGTGCAAATTCTTGCAAAATATTGAAACAAATTAAATTAGCAATTTGTAGGTGAAAGTAGAAGACCTGAACATGATATCCTGAAATTTTTATGAAAATTGATTCGTTTTTGAAAAAGTTATGACACTTTGAGAAATGAAAATATTTTAGAAATTTTAAGTGTCCCTAATAATTTGGAAGGGTACTGTATATATATATATATATATATATATATGTATATTAACGGCAAAGTTATGTTTCTGTTTATGAACATCATTGTAGAAGGCAACAGCAGGTAGCAAAGAAATTACTGTTAAAACTACTATGAGCGTTTATTGAATTTTTGCTATTCAAAACGCGCCAACATAGCTGTTTTCGGAAGTGAAAGTAATTCTCGTATGGTGTGAAAGCGAGAGAATTTGGTGTAAGATTAATATTTAATTATTTAGATTTAAATTACACACATTAAATCGTATATAAACGCTTGATTAGGTATAAAACCGGAATAAAGTATTTCTTCACCAATTGTTAGGATTATTCATATTATATTCGGAGAGATAACACCACTATTTTTACAATGTAATAACTTTTTCAACGCAGTTCTTTTAAGTAATGAAGACCATAATTCGGCTAAATTTATTTAATTTCAGTTTACTCATAGCTAGACTAGATTTAGCTCCAGGACTGTGAATTCAACTATCCGACATAAAACTTAATTGTTGTTATTTTACGTCGCACTAGAGCTGCACAATGGGCTATTGGCGACGGTCTGGGAAACATCCCGGAGGATGATCCGAAGACATGCCATCACAATTTTGATCCTCTGCGGAGGNAAATTCTTGTTTTAAATTGTAAAAAAATTCTTAAACGACTCATTTTTCAAGGACACGAAAATTCATCCCTCCCAAAATTTAATTTTCTTATTCCCAAAATTAATGTCTGTAGGGATTTACTAATTCCAACACTAGATGGCAGCTCTGCATTAAAATACACTCCACTAAAGGCTCTGTCAGTAGTTTAGAATTGTAAAATTAAATTATCAAATTAATTATTAATAAGTAATTAACTAAGTTAATGCATATTTCTAAATCGAGTTGAAAGTTTATTAACCTAAAAAAAAAATATAATTTATTATCCATTTTTTATATTTTAGTATATTGTTATATTCTAAATCAGACCTAGTACAACTAAACACTCACCAAAAAAAAGATGGTAGTAAATTTTTTTTAAACGCCAATAATAAGATAAACCACAAAAATAAGGCAAACCTGAAAACCGGGTTTTCGTTGCCATCGGGAAGATAGGACCTTCACTTCCTCTTGCGGGTTCCTCCTATCTACGGCACTAGACTAGTGAGCTTGGTTTGTCCAACTGTTAGAAACAACATTTCGCATTTTCCTTTGAACAACTTTTTAAACCTATATTTCAATTACAAATTAAGTAGTTTACATTTATTTATCTTTACAATTCGAATTTATTTAGTTATATATTTGAATATTTTTAAAAGAAAAAAAATATTTAAGTTAAATGTTTTTATATTATAAAACTTATACTTTTTTATTATTTAGTACCAGTAATAACATATTTTCATTTTATATAAACAACCAAAAGTTGCAACCGACGGTAAGCTAGAATGGATTGTGGTTTATTGAATTGTAAAAATGTTGAAAGGAACAATGTGAACACCACGTTTTATACGTAATTCGAGAAGAAAATCAACATGGTAAAAAAAAAAAACTAATTTTCAAAAATACTCAAAGAAAAAAAAAACTTTTAGGGCTTTTAAAAACAAAAATAAGCACCTTTAAGAACTTTTTAAAACGCACCCAAAGTTAAAATGATGTGTTTAGATTAAAAATACATTGTTATTTTATTCCAACTGCAGTTTCATTAAAATATTAATTTTGTAAAGTAAAACTGAAAAGCTAAATTAAAACTTTGTAAAAAAATTTTTAACTGCGCTTTTATTTATTTATTTTTGAAATTGGAAGTTTATTTTTGTTTTCCTTATTAACCCTTATTACGAATTCAATATGCTTAAAGTTAATTTCTACAACGATAAAGTCAGAATTTTATTAATATTTTTGTCAGTTTTTATTTAAAAAAATGTGAGTAGAAATAAGAATTTTATCACTTAAAAAATAATTTTTTTTAAAAGTATTATAGAAATTTGCTATTTCAGTTATAATTACTTATTTCCGTTACTTAAGTTTAGATAAAATATTGTATTGGTGATAAAAGTAAGACTAAGAAAATAACTTCTACCCGAGTACTAGCATTAAGTACCGAGTTAACTGAAATTTCATTGGTCTGTTTCGAAAGAAAAAAAAGAGGTGGCATGAAAAAGATGCATAAAAAATGAAATTATGAGTCATTTAAAAAATGCCAGTTTTTTAAACCATCAACAATTTAGATAAAACAAGCGAATTTTATTTAAAAATTTTGATAGAGCATATGGTGCACCTTGAGAAAAATATACCTGAAACTAAAGAAAAAAAAATTCCATCTTTGAAAATAAAATCAAGAGTTTCGTTTTTAAATTATGCATTTGCTTACAAAATTGTGTCTAACTTAAGGTAATCTAGAAATATAAGTAACACAAAGATATTTTTGCAGTAAAAATTCTTAATATTTCTTCGAAATTCTAGATATAATCAATTTTCTTAAAAAATTCATTTTCAATTAAAGATTAGTTAAACTGTTTTCCTATATTTACCCATTAGTCCTTTAAAAAAAATTCATCTGTTTCTTAAACGTTTAATAAGGGGACAGTAATTATATTTTCTATGAAATAATAATTTAAAACTGTAATAGCCAAATTTTTCAACAAAAAATAAGCACTTTTTAAGCACTCAAAAAATATTTTTAAGCACTTTTCTATCAATGGTCTTAATGTTAAAATTATCAATATGCTAAAAGGAGATGAATATGTTTCCTAATTATCAGAATCAAAAGTTAACATTTTGAGAAAATTTTTTCTCTATGCTTAGATATAGTAATAGTAGAGTTTCATTAAAATGCAATTGTTTGGTTCCAATGGAAAAATTCAATATTAAAAAAAAATTGTAAAACAAAGTTTGCATTCATATTTTATGTAACTATCTTCTTATCCAATGTGATAAGTTTAGAGATGAAATAATACAAATTAAAAAATGAGTGCTCGTAGTGAGTCATTTATTTTATCAGTAAGACACAATATTTTTTAAAACAGTACAAAGCAGTGGATGATTGTTTAAATATTTACAAATGTTTCAAATGAAAATTTGAAATTAAGAGATACACTTGGTTTACTTTTATGAATAATAATTGTGTCTTTTTTTCTTTTCTTAACCTCTTGCTTACGGCTGCTAGAATAAGTGGACCAGAATGGCTTCATTATGCTAAGCGCCGTAAGCAAAGGGTAATTACAAATACTGCATGAACATGCCCTAGTAGCAATTTTACATGGGCCCCAGCTGGGCTCGATATTGACTCAATATGAACATGCACCAAGGGACCAATATTGAGATGCCTAGATTTTTTATTATTTGTCCAATATCGGCCTTTATGGGGTCAATATAGGTCCTATATCAGGGTGGCCACTCAAATCAGATCTCAAATTTCCCTGATTTTTCCAGATAAAATTCTTAAAATTTCCAGGTTTTTGTTCTTGTTTTCTTATAAAGTGCAGGATGTGCACAAGAAAAGTGTCTATATTATAAAATATTTTATTCAAGCTGTTTTCTTTTAACATATCATCCTGAAAAAAATCATTTATTTTGACAATTTGGCAAGATTTTTTTTATGTTTTGGAACGAAATTTTGAATCAAAAATCATATATTGACCAACAAAAGAGTAAAATTAAATAATATATAGTTAGCTCTTAAAAAAAACCCTTTTTTAAAAAATTAAAATATGTTGTAAAAGGTTAAAATGAAATAGAAAAAATTAGCATTAAAGCAACAATTATAACAATTTGTCGACAAACATTGCTGTTAGTGATTGTAAAAAAATGTGTGATCGGTTGGTTTGCTGAGAAAAAATAATTCACTGATCTCTTTGAATGGGAATACAAAAGCTTTCAGAAAAAGAGTGCAATATAAAATCTATTATTATTAAATTATAATCAACTAATTTTTGGAGATTTTTATTAAGTTGAAAATACAAAAACATTTTGTCAACATGGAAAAAAATTACCACGAAAGCATTCAACAAACTTGAGCCATAAATGGATTCAGCCTAAAGACAGAATTTAAAAACAGAAGCTAATATCCTAATCCCTTCTTCCACCTCTACCACAATCTTTCCTAAATTGCACAGTCCCATAGTAGTCAAAGATTTCTACATTAGTTCAGAAACCGTGGAAGAATTTTATGTGGCATTCTAGTTTAACAGAGTTGTAAAGGAGCAAATTTTGATGCAAGCAAAGTATCGCTAAGTTGATGATATTTCAACTGTTTGGAGATACATTTTCGTCTAAAAAAAGTGGGTATAATGGATTAAATAATTTAAATTAAGAAAATTAGTAAATAATTTAAATTAGTGAAATTAAAAAAATTATCAAAGAAAAAATTTCCAGCTTTTCTTTAAAATCCTAATTTCCCTGATTTTTCCAGGTTTTTTCCAGTATAAAAAAAATTTCCTGATAATTCCAGGTTTTCCAGGTGGGTAGCCACCCTGTATATTGTCTGAATAATGAATATAAAATATCAGATGAATCTGACAATTCTATATAGGGCCGATATTTGGGGCAGGAATAGCCTGTCTGGTAGGGCATTGGGCCCATATCCAAGAGGTCGTGGGTTCGACCCCCAAAGACTCTCCGTGTAGTTAAATGGTGACTGATGCACGTTAAATCTTTCGGATCATAAAGTCCTCCATGTTCCCATAACAAATCAAACCTCTGGGGGTACTGATCCAGGAGTTTTCGTCTTCTGGATCGGGTTCAAAATTACTAGGCTACGGAGTTGAACATTAGTAGCGGTAAACCCAAGATTGGGTCGGCTGTTCAATGACTGTTATAAAATAAAATAACAAAAATAGGGCTGATATTAGTTGTATGTTGTAAAGTGGCTGTAAAATATCGGGAGAATTGGGCAATTCTATATCGGACTAATATCGGCCCTGTGAATCCTTATTGAGCAAAGATTCATGAATATAAGTCCAATGAGGGTCCAAGTTATTTTGCTGCTAGGGCGTCTTTCCTCCATTACTTAATATTAGGTACTGAACTTGCTTTTTAAAATTCATAATACATACACAAATCTAGAAAGGTTTTTCCCCGGTATGAACCCGCTGGTGTCTACTTAAATTATAAGTTGTAGAAAAACTCTTACTACATACATCGCAGGAATATGGTTTTTCTCCAGTATGGACAAATCTGTGTCTAATTAAACAAATCTTTAGTGAAAAACTCTTATTGCATATACTACAAGAATGAGGTTTTTCACCAGAATGAACGATGCTGTGTTTTTTTAAAGTACCTTTGTTAAAAAAACTCTTACTACATACATCACAAGAGTATGATTTTTCACCAGTATGAGTCAAGTTGTGAGCAATTAAATAAGCTTTTCTTGAAAAAGACATATTACATAGATTACAAGCATAAGGTTTTTCATCAGAATTAAGATGAACAATTTTGTGGCTCTTCAAACCATATCTTGTTTTGAAACTTTTATGACATACACTACAAGAATATGGTTTTTCCTCCTTATGAATAATATTGTGTCTACTTAAATAGTCTTTCCTCGCAAAAGTCATACTGCATACACTACAAACATAAGGTTTTTCATCGGTATGAACACGGTGGTGACTCGCTAGATAGGTGCTTGATGAAAAACTCTTATTACATAAACTACAAGAATAAGGCTTTTCGGAAGTATGGACAAAACTGTGTCTTGTTAAAAGATGTTTTCGAATAAAAGTCTTATTACAGATTGTACAAGAATAAGGTTTCTCGCCAGAATGAACAAAATAGTGATCAGTTAAATGAACTTTTTGAGTAAATCTTTTATTGCATATATTACAAGAATAAGGTTTTTCGCCTGTATGAACAGGGCTGTGTTTAACTAATGCACCGTTTGTAGAAAAACTCTTATTACATACAACACAAGAATAAAGTGTATCACATGAATGGATTAACTTGTGTTGATTTAAGTAACTATTCCTTGAAAAACTTTTATGGCATATGTTACAAAAATAAGTTTTTTTATCAATATCAGTAGAACTGTTGCTGGCTGTTGGAAGCACATCTACATAAGTTTTATTCGACATATTATCGCAAATAAAATTTAACAAAAATTTCCAATAACTTTTAATACATTCAAGCAGTAACAGAGACCTTTTTGAAGAAATAAAAAGATAAAATCATAACAATTGAATATAGCTCTTTCAACACTTTCTCCTTTGTATGTATGAATGCATGTAAAATAAATTATACACAGTTACTCTTTCACAAAATAATGGAAATAAGTTCACAAAAAAAAATTTTTTTTTTTTGATTTGTATAAAGCAGACCAATAAATTTTACAGAGATAACTAATTCATTAAATTATTTTTAAAATTGACCTCATGGCATACTACCCGTTTTCACATTTATGTGTCTCAATTTTTTTTCTACAAACAATTTACTATCAATATCAAACAATTGTTAACTATTTCTTACAAGTAACAGGATACACAAGTAATGCAATTGATCAGGCACTTAGAGCATTTTTAAAAAATCTGAATTAAGGCTATCAAAGTCATTCGATTGAACAGCAGCGCCTCTTAATATAAAGCTAAAACTGCTTGAAAAATAAGCATGTTGTGTTGCTGTGTATGATGAATTGAATCTATGTCTGTTATTGTAACCTAAAAAAATAAATAAATAAACTAATTAATAATATAGGTTTAAGAAATTGCCAATAAAAATAAATAAAGATTGTCAATAAAAACTATTAATATATTAATTAAAAAAATTTTAATTTATAAAATTAAAAAATTTAATTATGAATTTGTTTTTTTTTTTTTTTTTTTTTNTTTTTTTTTTTTTTTTTTTGCCTTTTAGCAAACAAAATATAACTTTTTTGCTATTATGTTTTCATTCCACCAATATTATTTTTCATTTACATGACTTTCGTTAATTAAAAATATGGACAAAGTTTTTAATCCGTAAAATAATTAAATAAAATCTTCATTGCATTTTAAAATTTTTTTTATTTAACTTTGTGAAAAGACAATAGCTGAATTCAGTAACTTGATAACATTCAATTTGGAACAACTCATAAAAAGAAAATTTTCATAGCAGTGCTGCATTTAAATTTAAAACAAAATTTTTTTTTTTTTAATTGAGTACAACACTTTGTTAACATGTGCATTGCCAGCCAGCCGAGAGCAGAGGGTTATACTATATCTATTATTGAAGAGTGGTAACCTATAAAGATAAAATTATATTTTCGAATTTTAGCAAGCATTTTAATTTTTAAATTTTACAATAACTTTACTTTAACAAACAATATGTTATTGTCACGGGTATATAATAACAATAAATAAGCAAATAAAATAAGCATGCATGAGAATAATAAATAATTGCATGACTCTCGAATTTATTCCAAAAAAATTTGATAATGCAACAGTGTTAAATGAATTTCCTTTACATAAAATGCCTGGATTCTCCAAAAGTATGAAATTGAAAAGCTAAAATAATGAGGCTATTTGTCTAATCAATGTAAAGTGTGCATATAATTTTTTTTGCTCGACAGATTTGGATTCTTGACCCACAAAATTTGGTGGGTGGTCGCAATTAGGTTCAATAGTTTGATCAAGAGAGAGGGCCAAAGTTTGAATCCCTTAATGTAATACTTTTTGCATATATTTTGGGAAATTCTGAAGCGAATTGAAAAATTTTGAATACATTTTAAAAAATTTATTTAATTAAAGATAATTCCACCCAAAAAATAATTTCAATACTTATTTATAATTAAAATATTTAATAATTGGCGAAACATATGCATTGTAAGATTTAAGACAAATTTTTATATTTTAAAGAATGCAATTTTAAATGGCAAAATACAAAATTTAAATTAACGTTCTAGTAAAATCAAATTTTAAACATATATATATTTTTTTAATTTGACAACTCAGAAACAATTAGACCGATTACACACAAATTTTGTATTTTGCCACTTAAAACTACATTCGTTCAATTAATGCAAAATGTGTTTTAGTGTAATTTGAGTACCAATTCTTAAAGCACTTGATCAGCAAAATTTTCATCTAAAATCTACATGATTCCCCTATAATTTTCACAATGTTTTTCAATATTTTTAATACAACGTGGTTATGGTTCACGGATTTTAAATATTACTTTTTCCATGTTAGATTCGCACTGTTTGCATTGTAAAAGTACATTGTTTTGCAATAGCTTTTCCGACACTGTCACGTTCATAGAAATGTATTTCAACATTTATTATATGAATTCAATAACTAGATTTGGCACAACTCGGTAGCTTAGTAATAACATTCAGGATTTTTGTGAAATTAGTCTCCAGTTTTATGGAAATAGTCAGTTTATTCATTTTCTTGCCAGTGCGTCAAACCTGGATTTCAGAAGAAAATTGTCACACTTTAGTTGACAGTGGTGGCGCAAAGGTTATTATTGTAAAAATTAAGATTAATTTTACAATTGCTTTTTATGATACATAAATAAAATATTTTGTTAACAGCATCAGAATATGCAACTACTTTAGATATTTTTGCTGAAAGTACCACACATTATGTAACACATAAATGAAGTTTTTATGATAAATACAACTGTGACTAGTAAATTATTTATTTTATCAGTTACAAGAACAATATTTTTTAAAAGTACAAACAAAGCAGTATATAATTACATTTAAAAAAAATGCCTAATTAAAATATATGTTGTTCACTTTCAAGAACACAGTTGTGTCTATTTCATAAATATTTTTTCTCAAAACACAGATTACAAATACCACATGTATATGGTTCTCTTCCAGTATGAATGATTAGATGTCAGTTCAAACTAAACTTGCTTTTAAAATTCATTTTATACACAAAATACTAGCAAGGTTTTTCACCAGTATGAACACACTTGTGTTTACTTAAAGAACGCTTTACTGAAAAACTCTTATTGCATACACTACATGAATGTGGCTTTTCAACAGAGTGTGTCAAGATGTGGCCAGTTAAATAAATTTTTCGTGAAAAAGCTTTATTACATATACTGCATACATAAGGTTTTTCATCCGTGTGAATACTTCTTAGGTGTATAGTTAAATAACTGCTATCAGGGAAACTCTTATTACAAATACTACATGAATACGGTTTTTCGCCAGTATGAGTTAAGTTGTGTCGAGTTAAATGACTTTTTCGTGAAAAAGTCATATTACATATACTACAGACATAAGGTTTTTCACCAGTATGAACACGTTTGTGAGAAGTTAAACTATTGCTCGATGAAAAACTCTTATTACATATACTACAAGAATATGGTTTTCTGCCAGTATGAATCAAGCTGTGTCTTGTTAAACAATCTTTCCTCGCAAAACTCATATTACATACGCCACATTCGTAAGGTTTTTCATCGGTATGAACACGTTGGTGTCGCGTTAAATAGTCACTTGTGGTAAAACACTTATTACAAAAACTACAAGAATAAGGCTTTTCAGTAGTATGAACATAACTGTGTCTTGTTAAAAGAGATTTTCGAGTAAAAGTCTTGTTGCATATTTTACAAGAATGAGGTTTCTCCCCCGTATGAACAAGATAGTGGTCCGTTAAATTAACTCTCTGAGTAAATCCTTTGTTGCAAACATTACAAGAATAAGGTTTTTCACCAGTATGAACAAGACTGTGCTTAATTAATGCACCTTTTGTAGAAAAATTCTTATTACATATAACACAAGAATGAGGTTTATTTCCTGTGTGGATGAATTTGTGTCTAGTTAAATAACAATTCTTTGAAAAACTTTTACCGCATACGTTACAAGAATAAGGCTTTTCACTAATTTCAGTAGAAGTGTTGCAGGGTAACATATTTACAAAAGTTTTACTAGACATATTATGGCAATAAAATTTTTAATTTATTCAGCAAACTTTAAGTAGACCTTTTTACAGAAATATAAAAATAAAATTATAATTATAATATACAATGATTATACTTCTTTAGCAAACTAAATTATACACACTCATGCGAAATCGTAAAACAAGCTTTAATTTCTATAGAACAGATCCTTAAATTATGGATAATTGACCGTGTAAAGATAAACACAGATGGCGCTAGGGTAAAAAATCATCCTAAGACTTCCAGGCAACTGCTATTTTCACCTGAAAAGCTTGAAAAAGAGTGCTATCCAATATTATTATACTTGCAGTTTTTTTAATCTAACGCTTTTTTTCAATTTAACTTTCAACGAAACAAACAGTAAACGAATTCGGAAGAATCCACGAGCTTGCCATACAACCCAAAAAATAACTAACGGTTCTATTTTACGCAAATAGACCCAAATATAAGTGAGCACTCAAAACATGGCAAACCTTAAACTTTAGTTATGAAGCAATATTAACTTCTTTATATTTGTTTTAGGCTCACGAACTCTTAAAATTCATAAATTACAGAAAACTCTTATCAACGCTAAAATTACGCATGAATTTCAATCACAATAATAAAACTTCTCAGAATATTAAGCCTGATCACACATCACCTCGTAAGCATAACATAAGCAGAGTGGTACACAGGAAGTTTTCTTATTTTCTTCCCGTTTTAGAAAGTTTGTTATTGTTTATATTCACTCAACCATCCATACAGAGATAACCAATTCATTAAAATATTAATTTTAGTAGAGCTTTCAACACATTATTTGCATCAGATTCATATGCCTTAAACTTTCACTACATAATAATAAATATACTAGCAAGTCAGTAACATCGAAGTTCCAAACAACTGTTAAGTATTTCTTACGAGTAACAGGATACACAAGTAATGCAATTGATTAGGCCTGCTTCACATTTTTATTGATTTTAATTTCGAATAAAAGCCATTAATGTCTGTCGATTGAACACAAGCGCTTCTCAATGTACGCAAATATGCTTGGAAAATAAGTTTGTGTTGACGCAAATGATGTAATATGTAGATGTCTGTTATTACAACCTAGAAAAAAAGTTCATTAATAATAGAAGTCCAATCTTGTAAACAGAGAGATTTCTAATAAAAAGAATGATAAGGGCTTTAATAACCAACTTTACAAGGGTACGGAGTTGAACATAAGTAGTTGTAAACCCAAAATTGGGTCATCTGTTCAATGACGGATATAAGGAAAAAGTATAGGTACTTAGTGGAGCTCTGGCGGTTCAGTGGGTAGAGCTTTCACCTCAGTGGAAGGTAAACCAAATCTCTTCGTAAACCAAATGTTTTACTAATTTCTATTTTTATTACTTATTATAATTATAAAAAATAGGCATGTTATTTATTCGCAAAATTATTAAATAGGTATTTTTCTGGTGTTAAGAAATTTACTTTTTTTTAATAAAATTCTAATTATGTAAACTTATGGTAACCTGGCATAGAGGAATTTAAAAGATTTCAATTTAAACAAGTACTTCAATTACTAAAAAGGTACCACTGAAATTTTATTTTGAACAATATAATATTAACGATAATTTAATGAAATAATTACGATTATTTACTTTATTTAAGCAAAATATAAATCAACAATTATTTTTCAAAATAAAGTCACAAGTTTCAAGGGAAAGGGCATAAATTAAAACATGAAGATAAAATCACACTTCGTCTCAAAATGAGACCCAACTTACTTCCAATAGATTGATTGTTGAGCACAATAGATGATTCGCTAAGTTGGAAAACGAAAAACTAATTTTTTTTTATTCAAACAAGTGTTATCTCATTCAACAAAGCATCATGGATGTTTTCTTGCAATGAAGTATTTGTATACAGGCAACTTTTATCGCATTCAGAATAAATTAGATATAATATGAAGTTCTATATCCTATTTGTTCAACTAAATATTAGAGATATGAAATAGATCGCCTATAAAATTGCAAACATTTCTCTAAAATTTTGGACTTTTTTACAAGAAGAAAATAGTAATCCCACACAAAATCCGTGAAGTAGATTTGTAAACAAAAACAAACCAGTCTTTAAACGCTACGGTTAACAGTTAAATTCAATTCTCAGATCAAGTTCTTTCCAGAATGACATAGTTCTACGGTAGACAGACTTTCAATCAAATGCACCTATTTGATTGGCTCTTACCATCATCGGTTTTGCTTAATGGTTGTTTCTGGTTTCTACATCCAGCATTTCTATCATCCCTTGCTGACGAACAAGAAATATCCTCAAATTTGTTTCTTTCATCGATCTTGAATATATACAGTCAAACCCCGCTATAGTGAATCTTCAAGNCGGTGGAAAAAGTGCTTTCGACAAAATACTAAAATAGAGATCTATTGACAAAGACTACTCACTTCTGCCTAGCTTAATAGTATGAGATTACTGCAGCTGACAGGGTGAATTTCGAAGAGATCACATTTGGTGAGAATGCTCTCTCTGGTTATTTCCGTTTTTGGAAGGGCTATATGTTGAGCCACCTCAGCTAGATTTGGCATGCGACATTTTCAGCGGCAATCATTGGTCGATTTTCTAGCGTTGCCGTTCGGGGAGTAGTAATGCTTTTTTTGTCGCCGTGTAAGAGAAATATATATAGATTACCACAATTCTTGGTTCAAGAAGAATTAAACTAACTAACCCACAACTAGTTGGAACTAACCTGCATTTGCATTACATGGAGAGGAAAACCACGAAGACCTCTCACGGTTAGCCTGAAGACAAGGGGACTCTAAACTCATCCGTCTACCACTGAGGATATTTTACGCCAGCACTCTGGCCGGCGTGAGTCGGATGCGGAACTCGTATCGACCAGCCATCGCTAGGATTTGAAAACGGTTCACCTCATTGAAAGGTAAACGCTTTTTCCCCTGAGCCACCACAGCTCCACCAAGTATACTTTTTATATCCATCATTGAACAGCCGACCCAGTTTCAGGGTTTACGTCTACTTGTGTTCAGCTCCGTAGCCTTGTAATTTTGAACCAATCCAGAAGACAAGGAAACTCCTGGATCAGTTCCCCCAGAGGTATGATTTGTTATGGGAACATGGAGGACTTTGTGACTCAACAGATTTAACGTGCATCAGTCACAAAACTGGGCGTCTTCGGCTAGTGGGGATCAAACACGCGACCTCATGAACATGGTTCCAGTGCCCTACCAACCAGGCTATCCCGGTATACTCCAAGTGTACTTCGCAACATCTTTCTCTCAAATATTGCAATACAATTTTCCTCGAATTTTGTCATTGTCCAAGCTTCAGAAGCATATGTAAAGACTGGACTGAAAAGAGCTTGGCAGTTCTGCTGAAATAAGACCATGCCATGAAGCCGTTTTTAGTCTTTAATTGCAGCCCTGATCTCCTCAATAGTTGTAGCCTCAACTTCTATATCATTGCTGGATTAATGAAAATTGATTTCTACATTAATTATACAATTAATTCTTCAATTGATTTCTACATATATTCGCTTGAGGGTTTTTTCCAAAAAATATTCAGATAAATATGGACACACAGTGATAGAAGGACGCAAGAAATTTTAGCCGAAAAACATTGATAAAATGACGCTAAGAAAGCAAGCAGAAGAGAGGTAACCCTTTATCGGTTACAGTTTAGCAAAAGGTTTATACTAAAAAATCAATTTAAAGGTTGAAATGCCACCACGGTTAAAAGAACCAAAACTAAAATAACTGAACTCATTCATTTAATAGATTTTGCGTATAATAAACAACAAAACTGAGTTAGAGTAGTTAAGTTTAAGACAATTCGGAGCAAGTGTGATGTAGCAACATCACATAGAGCAAACAGCATCTTATGTAACAAAATCAAACACATAGTCATACTTTTCATGAATAAACATGCCATTCTGTTTAGCGGACATAAATTCTTCATCCTCAAAATTATGAGGGTAACCAACTATATTAATGAAACTCTCACGAGTAAGAAAAAAAGGCATTTATTTCATGAGTAACAACACAATCAATTTTACAGGTGCAAACAGATCAGTGAACAATTACATAAATATTTACCACAGAAAATTAAATTAAAATTATACATATTTTTATAATATTCCATACAGTGTCTATTCAAATTACATTTCCTTTTAAAATACTTATCACAAATATTAAATCTGTAGATTAGTACTGTATCGATTTAAATGACATATACTAGCATAATATGAACAGGTGTGCCATTGGGTCGTTATTTGCAAATAAATTCTTTTAATAGAGCACAGATTTTGATGACCCTAAAGCTTCTCAATAAATGTTCTTAAAAATACCAGTTTATTTCAGCAAAAATATTAAACTAAAACAATGTTTTCCTTTTAAAAATTACTCTCATTGCATTTTCTCAAATCATTTGCAATAAAAAATTACTTTTAAATATTTCCTATCCATAACATAATGGGAAAATCTGGTTGGACGTGGTATTGTAAGTTATAATATAAAGTAATAAAAATTTCGCATTGATTGTAATAAAAATGATCAAACAAATAACAAAAAAAAAATTAATACCCCAAAAATATAAAAATAAAAGTTCTAAAACGTCCCAAAGTTTAAAAAAAGAGGCGCATTGATTCAGGGGATAAGACAGTCGTCTTCCAATTAGGTGAACTGGGTTCGAATCCCAGCGATAGTTGGTCGATACGAATTCCGCATCCCGCTTGCACCGACCACAGTGCCGACGTGAAATATCCTCAGTGGTAGACTGATCATTGGTTAGAGTCCCCTTGCCTTCAGGATAACCATGGGAGGTTCTCGTGGTTTTCCTTTCTATGCAACGCAAATGCGGGTTAGTTCAATCAAAAAGTCCTCCACGAAAACAAATTTCTCCCAATACTTGATCCAGGAGTTGCCTTGTCTTCTGGATTTGGTGTGAAATTGCAAGGCTACGTAGTTGAACATTAGTAGTCCTAAACCCCAAAATTGGGTTCAACGATGTTTATAAAAAGTTTTAAAAAAATGCTAGTGTGGCACATTTCACATTTTTTTTAGCCTGCAAAAAATAAACCATTTTTGATTAAAAACATCTAAGTACTTTCTTTTAGTACTGCAATTATTTCAATACAAATTGTAGTGTGTATGAAGAATCTTTGCCTTTTAATACTTTTGAATCTACTAAATGCAAACTTTGATGCAAAAACATTTTATGGTGTTCTGTGCAGATAAATTCTTATAGTATTGTTGTTTAATAAAGTGGCTTCAACTACAAGTAAGGTTTTTACGGGTATGAACACATTTGTGTTTATTTAAAGAACTCTTCCGTGAAAAACTTTTATTACATAAACTACAGGAATATTTTTTTTCACCAGTATGAGTCAAGATATGGTAAGCTAAATAGCGTTTTCGGGAAAAAGTCCTATTACATATATTACAAACAAAAGGTTTTTCATCAGTATGAACAGTCTTGTGTATGGTTAAATCACTGATCCCTGCAAAACTCCTGTTACAAACACTACAAGAATATGGCTTTTCACCAGTATGAGTCAAGTTGTGTCTAGTTAAATAACTTTTTCGCGAAAAAGTCATATTACATATACTGCAAGCATAAGGCTTTTCACCAGTATGAATCCGTTTGTGTTTAGTTAAATCTGTGTTTGCTGAAAAACTCTTATTACATATACAACAAGAATATGGTTTTTCACCAGTATGAACCAAGTTGTGTCTAGTTAAATAGACTTTTCTGGCAAAAGTCATAGTGCATATACTACAAGCGTATGGTTTCTCACCGGTATGAACACGTTTGTGGATAGTTAAATCACTGCTAGTTGAAAAACACTTATCACAAAAACTACAAGCGTGAGGTTTTTTGCTAGAATGGACAAAGCTGTGCCTGTTTAATTCAGATTTTCGAGAAAAACTCTTATTACATGTACTACAAGAATAAGGCTTCTCACCAGTATGGATAAGGTAGTGATTTGTTAAACTAGTCTTCTCAGAAAATCTCTTATTACAAATAATGCAAGAATAGGGTTTTTCACCCGTATGAACAAGTTTGTGTTTGATTAGATTATCTTTTCTAGAAAAAATCCTATTGCATATATTACAAGACAAAGGGTTTGTTTTAGTTTCAACTGAACTATTGCTGGCTATTGGTAGCTTATTTTCAAAAGACATGTTATGACGATAAAGATTTTTCCTCCAGTGCACAGAAGACGGTCTTATTCCAGAAACAGATGAAATCAAAGAGTTGTTGTTCAATGAAAACAAAGCTTGTGCAATAATTGAGTAGTTATCTTTCAAAACGACATCAAGTGGCTGAGTGGTAGCGCTTCGTGCCACACGTCCTGGGTTCAATCCTCGGGCAAGGTTGACTCAGCCTTTTATCTCTTCAGTGGGTCGATAAATGACTGCCAAGCATGCTTGGGAACTAAACACTGGGGATCACACGTTCGGCTGACCACTTAACCAGAACATCTGCTCCTGCACCCCAGAGACCAAGGTCAAGAAAACTGAGATGGGCACAGGAGGCCTTGGCTCTCCATGGCTGTCGTGCCACTGAGTTTAGTTTATTTAGAAAACCTACCTTTTCGGAATTTAAATATGCATGTAAGCTAAATTAAATACTATTCTTTTGCAAAATAGTGAAAATAAAATCAAGTTCTAACATTTAAATTGAAAATAACATATTCCTTTATCCCTCAGTTATATACAATATATTTTACACTTATGCGACTCATACTTTTGCTTATAATAAAATAAAGCGTGCGATTCACAACAAATATCAAAACAATAAACCACGGTACATGTTTTAGTGAATGTAATACAACTGATATTAGTTACATGTCACACATTCAAATAACTATGAAACCTTTAGTTAAAAATAATAGGATACAGAAGTAATGCCATTCAATAGTCACAATGCAAATTTTTTAAAATTTTAATGAAACCTGTGATTCTCACTGCAGCGTCTCTTGACCTATGCAAAACTGCTTGAAAAACATGCACAGGATCAGATGTATGACAAAGTTTATTGATGTCTGTTATTTTAACCTAAAAAAAAAAGAAAGGTTAATCAATGACATGGATCCAAACAGATTTACACAAAAAAGTATGATAAGGACAATAAAAATTTACATTAGCTTCTTAGCAAAGAAAATTTTAACATGCATAATGTAACAATCTGCTGTTGACTTAATTAAATGGAATTATTGCTCCCTTATTTTCTTCTAAGAGATTGCTATCAAGTAAAAAATTTGATTTGTACAAAATTTTATAACTTACTTTTATAAAATATGGATAATTTAATTTAAAAAAATGAAATAGTTTTTCATCTATTTGGCAAAAACTATCGCTTTGTAATTACTGTCAGAACCTAAAATTCATTTAAAAGAAATAGAAATTGCAATAGTACGTAAACGTCTGTGTAATTACTTTACTACTTGAAAAATTTTAAAAATTTTATTTAACTTGGTTATTTAATAACATAATCAGTTTCTTTTTTGTCAGATTTCGAACAATAATAAAAGAATATTGAAATTTGACAGTAAGAACATTGTTGGTAAACATAATATAAATTTAAAAGTTAAAGAGCAAATTTATTACTGTTATTAATATTATTGAGATGAAATAAAAATGGTTTAGACAATCATGACGACTTATAAAGGTGTAGACAATTATGAATACATTCTGTTTTCTGTAACAGCTGCTGATTACTTACTTAGAATATCAAAACATTCACTCTATACGTTAAAACTAAATAGCTAATTTGTTTTCCTTTTTTTTAAAATTTTAACTATTAATATCTGAACACTTTTTTGTCAGCTTTTATTTAAAAAGTTGCGAGCAGAAATAAGAATTTAGACATTAAAAAAAAACAAATTAACAAATAAAAACAATTTTTAAGTATTAGAGAATTTGGCTATTTCAGTTTTAATTACACATAGACATTCCTTAATGTTAGACAAATTGTAAAAATATAGGTGATAAAAAGAAGATCAAGAATAAAACTTCTACCAGAGAAAAAAACTAACTGAAATTTTATTGGTCTGTTTAAATAAAAAGTTAGATTGAAGATATGCACAACATATAGAAGGAAAAAAATTGTGTCATCTCTATTTTTTTTTCCATTTCTATACCAAAAGTAATTTAAATGAAACATATAAATTATGTTTCAAAATAAAAAACAAACAATATCTGAAATGATTTAAAATTAATATAGAGCATATGGTGTAGTTTAAAATTTATATATATATTGAAATTTATTAAAAAAAATATGGTGCTTTTTCAGTTTATTATCATTACTATCCTTTTTTTTCTCTAATTACTTTCCAGAACACTAAAATGGATTTTAAAAAGAGTTTTGGTTTTAAATTATAGTGTGTTTGCTTAGAAAAGGTGGTTTCAGTTTTGGCAATATATATAAAAATGTGATACAAAGATCTTCATGCAATGAAAACACAAAAAATTTTAATATCTCTTTGAACTTTTAGATATTATCTATTTTCTTAAAAAAATATTAATTAAATTTTAAATTAAATAAATAATTTTTAAACTGTTTTCCTACATATACTTATTACTTATTGATACATAAAAAATAAGATAAATCTTCTTCATATGTTTTTAAAACATTTAAGTGGGGGTACAGGAATTACCTTTTTCCACACAATTACAATTTCAAACTGTTACAATTTCAAACTGCTATTTTTAAATTGTTCATTGTAGGTCATTGATTTGCAATTTAAATGTATGGTGTTAATGTAAAAACTATCAATATTAAACTAATTATGATACAAATTTTTTCTAATAGTCTTAGTAAGAAATTAAGGACTTGAAAAAATCTCCTATTATATAAAGTGTGATATTCTGCAGCCATACAACTATCATAGAAAAAGCAAATTAAAAAAGCATAGCAAATTAATAGCAATAGTATCAATTTAATATTATCGTATCTCCTATATTACTTTTAATTAACAATCAAACACATTAAATATAGATGTTCTTTGAAAATAAAATTAATTGGTTCATGGAACAGATATGCTAAGAAAAAAAAAGCTTACATGAAACATGAAGAAAACATGAGTAATATTCAGGGATTGTTTTCACAAGGGGGAGATTTCGTATCTTGATCTGTGGCAGAATAATCACCAAGTCTTGGCAACTTCTGGCAGCAGATTACTTGTTTTTTTAAAAAAAATTGCAAGTTTAAAATCTATTTGGCGATTGTAATTGGAGCAACAGATCACGATACGGAAATATCTCTTTCACAAGATACAGTTGAAACATTCGAAATATAAAAGTGTAAACTCCTTTTAAACAATGTTACTTTATAAGTTTAAATCTTTCAGGGAGAATAAGTAACTTGGATTATTACACAAAAATAGTTATAATTTCAAACCTTCTCTGGGGCACATAAGTTGTTAGAAAATTAGTTTAAAATTTCTTTTTAAAAATAACAGTTAAATTAATTTGCGTATGAATTACTACTATGCATAGTAGTAATAAATGGGAATAAATCTTGAATGATTAATTTTGCTACACGATCAAATTTGTATCACCTTTTTGCTACAAAAATAAAATGTAGGTTAGTTAAGTTTCTTCTTTAAGCTGAGTTATTTTTAAAGTTATTATAAAATATTGCTTGTTACATTATTGCACTAAAAAACAGAACAGAAGTTGTTATAAGTTTGTTTAACAAAAGCCCTTAAAAATTTTATAAAATAAAATTGTTCTAATATATACCCTATTAGAGATATTCGGAGACATTGTGGTGTAACTACCACTATAAATAATAAATACCAATTCACTAGTATATAAGACATGTTAACTTGATTCTATCATGAGGTACCTTTTGATAGATGAAGGTTGACATAGTCGATAATTAATACCCCCACAACATATCACAGTGTATCAATATAAATCTCAGTAAAGTTATGTCAAAAAGAAGCAAATTAAAATATTAATCAACTCTTGAATTATTTTTATACAAAAGACGAAAAAATTATTGATTAAATTGATTATTGTAGGACGTCTTCAGATGCTGATTTCTGTTATATCAAACGTCTGTCTCCATGAACGCGAATTAGTAAAATTATACGCCCTCTGGCGAAAAATAAGTAAAGCTTAAGAAGAGGTTATAAAACTATGGGATACGCGTAAGTACGTGTTTAATACACAACGCGAATCGGGCGAGGTCTCATAACTGTTCACGCTTGATTGTTTATGCTTCCGTATTATGTTATGCTTAAGTAAGGTGATCTCCTAATAAAGTATAAAAAATATTAAAGTATAAAGATTGGAGTTATAAATAAAACATAACATAAAAGAGTAAGAAATTGCATTTCCGGGATAACGAGTAGGGTGCTGTGTAGAAACGCTCTTGAAACTATAAAAGAGAATATTATAAGCTTTTCAAAGATAAAAAATACGGGTCTATTAAATTGGTGTAAGGCTCTTTCAAAACCTTTCGATGCTACGAAGAAAAAGATAAAGATTAATTTAAGCATCGAATTCTCAAAAGTTTTAAAATAGTCATTTTTGTTTCCTCTCCTTATATGCTGGTTTCATTTTATTTATTGACTAAAAAATTGGATATAAAGTTCCATTTACCATATTTTTTCTACTTTGTTATTTTTTACTTTTCTAATTTTGCAAAAAAAAGAAAGAGAAAAAATAATAATAATGATAGATTTTAAATAGCTTCCGAAAATTTTATATTCATAATTGCTTTTTCGTGCCACTGTCACCACTGAAATTATATTTTCCTTTNACTTCTGGCAGCAGATTACTTGTTTTTTTAAAAAAAATTGCAAGTTTAAAATCTATTTGGCGATTGTAATTGGAGCAACAGATCACGATACGGAAATATCTCTTTCACAAGATACAGTTGAAACATTCGAAATATAAAAGTGTAAACTCCTTTTAAACAATGTTACTTTATAAGTTTAAATCTTTCAGGGAGAATAAGTAACTTGGATTATTACACAAAAATATTTATAATTTCAAACCTTCTCTGGGGCACATAAGTTGCTAGAAAATTATTTTAAAATTTCTTTTTAAAAATAACAGTTAAATTAATTTGCGTATGAATTACTACTATGCATAGTAGTAATAAATGGGAATAAATCTTGAATGATTAATTTTGCTACACGATCAAATTTGTATCACCTTTTTGCTACAAAAATAAAATGTAGGTTAGTTAAGTTTTTTTTTAAGCTGACTTATTTTTAAAGTTATTATAAAATACTGCTTGTTACATTATTGCACTAAAAAACAGAACAGAAGTTGTTATAAGTTTGTTTAACAAAAGCCCTTAATAATTTTATAAAATAAAATTATTCTAATATATACCCCATTAGAGATATTCAGTGACATATCACAGTGTATCAATATAAATCTCAGTAAAGTTATGTCAAAAAGAAGCAAATTAAAATATTAATCAACTCTTGAATTATTTTTATACAAAAGACGAAAAAATTATTGATTAAATTGATTATTGTAGGACGTCTNAAATTGACAATATAAGTTAAAAACACTTTATTTTTAAACCTCGCTATGTTAAGTCTATGACACCCTCGCCACCCAGAGACCCACAATTGATTGTTTGTTTACAATCAATGCCCGTGCCCCATACTAGAGACGAAAAAATTATTGATTAAATTGATTATTGTAGGACGTCTTCAGATGCTGATTTCTGTTATATCAAACCTCTGTCTCCATAAGTTTAAATAATAAAATCATACGCCCTCTGGCGAAAAATAAATAAAGCTTAAGAAGAGGTTATAAAACTATAGAATACGCGTAAGTACGTGTTTTAATACACAACGCGAATCGGGCGAAGCCTCATAACTGTTCACGCTTGATTGTTTATGCTTCCGTATTATCTTATGCTTAAGTAAGGTGATCTCCTAATAAAGTATGAAAAATATTAAGGTATAAAAATTGGAGTAATAAATAAAACATCACATAAAAGAGTAAGAAATTGCATTTCCGGGATAGCGAGGGATAACGAGTAGGGTGCTGTGCGGAAACGCTTTTGAGACTATAAAAGAGAATATTATGAACTTTTCAAAGATAGAAAATACGTGTCTATTAAATTGGTGCAAGGCTCTTTCAAAACCTTTCGATGCTACGAAGATAAAGATTAAGTTAAGCATCAAATTCTTAAAAGTTTTAAAATAATCATTTTTGTTTCCTCTCCTTATATGCTGGTTTCATTTTATTTATTGACTAGAAAAATTAGATATAAAGTTCCGTTTACCATATTTTTTCCACTTTGTTATTTTTTACTTTTCTAATTTTGCAAAAATAAAAAGAAAATAAATAAAATAATGATAGATTTTAAATAGCTTCCGAAAATTTTATATTCATAATTACTTTTTTGTGCCACTGTCACCACTGAAATTATATTTTCCTTTTAAAGTAAGATAAAAAATATTATTTCTACTCGGTACTGTCAAATTACTCTGCAATTCGATTCGGAGGATATCGCAAAGTTACATTTGGATCCTTACTGCAAATTTGTTTAACTCTTTTTGCTTTAAAATATTCATTTTTAAAATGGTATATTATTAATTTTATTTATTGCATGTAATAAAAGTAAAGCAATCCCGCAACAGCCCATATGTGGGATTCAAGTGCGTTAGTTTAGAAGGAAGTGAGTTAGTTTGTCTTGATTTTCAAATAGATTAAAAACTTTTAAGTTGGAATACTATATATAGTCCATATATGGAACTGAAAACTACTTTGAACTTAGTCCTAAGGGAAAGAATTGTGGACATTTAAAAAAATATTTTTATAGTTAAATGGCTAAGAAATTTGGGAGTTTCTCATGTTTTCCAGCAAGGGATAGGAATGCCAAATGATATAAATCAGAAACAACGATTAAGTAATGACAATAAAAACGATGATGTAGACAGGCAATCAAATATGTGTATTTAATTAAAAATTCTGCCAGCCCTTCCTATCACATTCATGTATTATTATCTCCAATTGCCAACTGCAATCGTCATGTGTTTAATTCAATTTAAAAGCATAATAAAAGAGCGAAAGGATCTGTTATCCAATTTTTCGCAGTTTTCTAATTTAGACCGGGGGGCTTTTATATTCTTCGGACGGTCACTTTCATTCCCTTCCACATGGTCAGGCAGATATTTAAAGATAATGAATAGAACAAATTTTAACTTATTTTTTGTGCGCCAAGCAAGGGATAAAAATGCCAAATATTATAAATCAGGAAACATTGATTAAGCGGCAACGATGAAAACGATGATGATAATAGCCAATCAAATAGGTTTATTTGATCAAGAAATCCGTCTGCCAAAATATACAAAACCAATTTATTTCATTTTCATTCATTCGTTAATCGTTAGTAGCCGGCTAATGTTTAAGAATTTGTAACGATTGCTTATTTTATTTATTTATTTTACTGCAAACTTATATTTTTGCTGTGGAATTTTAATAGAATTAAAGGTGAGTAACTTAAAGTTTTTTCATTATTAATTAATTTTGTTTAAATGCTTTGTAAAAATTTCTTTTTTGTGAGTGCTTTGCCCTTTGCTACAAATTTGTAAACCCCGTTAGTTGTTACCGCGCATGTTTGTACCGCAAAACGCCGGTAACTGTGCATAATTTTATTAAGTTGACAGTTCTTTGTTTCAATTTGTGAAAGTTTCTTAAAGGTAAAATTATGTTGTTACTTTAACTAGCATTATATATTCCGTTGTTTTTAATATTTATTTTGACAATTTATTTTAAACTCGAGATTTTTACTTCATCCAGATATATATTGGTGAAATTTTTGATAATGTAGTATGATGTATTTAGTGAGATTTTCAATTTGAAGTATTTCTCATAATGAGTTAAAATGATTTTGCAGATATCTGCAGTTTTTTATTTTGTTAATGTTTTTGTGAATTAATTTACCCATTATTTCTTCTGTAAGGTTACTTAAAGTTAAATGTTTCCTAATAAATGCTCAGCATGTTGCTCTAGCATATCCACAATGCGATACAATAATTTTTTATAATGCTCATGTAATATAGCTTATATGTTCTTGTGATAATGTGTACTTAAGTAGTGAATTGCCAATGTGCTTTAAATTTGCGATTAGATGTCAAAGTCAGAGTGTTAACTTTTGTTTTCAATTTCTATTTTACTTAATCTAACTTAATAAACAGCTTTTAACACATTAGTTCATTTCTAATCTATGCCAACGATGAGTAAATGACTTGTACAGCATTCCTCAGTGCATTAAGTTATTTTAATTTCAGAGGTACCTTATTTTAACATCAATATAAATTTTGGAAATTTATCTTAAGACACACCATTTTTTATGTGCATGTTGAAAAAATATTGATTTTATTTCATCGGTTTCATAAGTTTCTTTTTCTGACTAACAAGATGCATGTTTTGCTTGAATCCATTATTTAGATATTTTCCATTGCAAATACCTAGATAACAATCTGCAGTTAATTAGCAAGCACTGTAGTTAGTGGTCTTTATAAAATTACAATTATCATTTGCAAATTGTTGCTCCTGCCGAGTGCTGGCAGAACATTTTTTTCCACTCCCAAGGCGATACTGAAAACTTGTCTATTTTTAGAATGTGAATTTTGAATTGAGTTCTACCCATTTTATTATTTTACTGTTGTAGTAGCAATGCTGTATAAAATTGTTAATATTTTACTATACAATATTTTGTCTAGATAATTATAAAATTTAAATCAACTATAATTGCTTATTTAAAAGACATGAGAGATAGAAAACATTGGATGTTAAGGTTACAAACAGCCTAACAATAAGAATATTTACTTCAGAATAATCTGAAAAAGTTGATTGAACTCTGCTTTCAAGAGTAGTTTTAAAGAAGTTGAGACTTTCCCATTATCAAGATCCTTTTACAATTTATAACAGACTGGTGATTTGGAAACAATTGAAGCTAGAAAAATCAGCTTTAATTTTCAAGTTGTGAAAGAAGCATAGCCTGACTGAGGCAGGGGCATACGGGGCAGCTGCTCCTTGGCCCCCACATAAGAGGGGGCCCCCTAATAGAAAGCTTATTTTACGTTTCCTTCTTGAATGAACTTTTTTTTAAACAAAATATCAGTACTGTGCAAAATCCGTCAGTTTTATGTTAACTTCTTCATTAATCTATTGTATGAACCAGGGTTGGCAGGTTTTTGACATGTGACAGTTTTTGACAGTTTAAACCATGGTTTNCCCAACCCTGGTATGAACACAATCTATATTTCATAAATGCATGGCTTTCTAGGGCAAATGTCTGCTAAATTTTTGCAATTACTATGGATGGACAAATTTGGCCAATCAAAAGTTGTATTTTTACATTGTAAAATGCAATATTTTTAAGAAATACAGGCTTCTGATAAGCCCTAATGTCTGCAAAGATATGAATTTTTTGCAACTAGTTGACTAAGTTAACAATCAGAAAATTGCATTCGGCATGTTGGACGTAGAATTGTCCAAAAATAGATAAAATGGACTGAACGATATTTCGTCTGACCATTGGAGAGAGAGGGACTTCATAGCTATTTCAGGTTCTAGTCAATTTTCTTGTTATCTATAATGAGGTGATCGATTTATATACCTCCATAAAGTTTGGTTCTTCATTACTGAAGTAGTGAACCAGAGGGGACCACCAAAGAAGATTTTACCTGGGGCCCCAATTAGGATAAATCTGGCCCTGGAAAAAAATAGTTGGCGTTAAGTTAAAAAATCCCTTTGATCTTAATAAATGTACCTCTTTGCCCTATTTGCAAAAATACCTGCCATTCCTTAGAAACACTTCCCTTTTATTCATATTCCTTGTTAAAAACAATTTATTATGTTTAAATAATAAATACACACTGGCCAAATTATCTGTGTTTATAGGTTTATTTCTGATTACTGTTACTTATATTTACTTGGTTAGGATTCTTCTAAACTGGTTGAAGTATTTTATTCGTGGAAGGGATATTAATAAATTTTTAACTGATTTTAAAGCCACTTTTTAAATAAGTATTTTTTTTAATTAAATTTTTTTTAATAAAAATTGCCTTCAAATTCATTTTTTCTTAATTTTCAGTGAAAATGATAGAAAAAATAAATTAAATTGTTTATCAATTAATAATTTTTTGTTGGCTTACTTTTTTTTTTTGAAAGAAAAAATTTGCAAATTGCCTTTTAGCATGTTTCTAATTACTTTTATGAACTACAAATATTTTCTTTTATTTTGAAAATGTGGCTGAATTTTTCTGTGAAATATACACATAAAATAGTAATTAGTATAAGAGGGTAATTAAAAAATTGCTTTCATTATGGTGGCGCCAACGAATTTGACCATTTTCGCGAGCATTAACAGATTCATCTCTGTCACTATAATGGACAAATGGTGATCTTCTCTGGCCATCGTGGCTCTTGGGCGACCTTGCCTAGGCTTTCTCTTAATGGATTTGGTATCCTGGAACTGTTTACATAAGTTTCACACGCTGCTGGGCGTTAAATTGAAATCTCTACAAATCTGAATTTGAGATAGGCTTGCTTTTAGCCTTCCCACAATTTGCCACCTCATTCCATCATCCATTGGTGGTTTTATCATTTTTACTGTTACAATTTGAATTTAAGCTTGCCGTAAAATAACTCCAAGAAATTCACCAAGATGTGCTAGCGAGCGGATTTTCCTTTTAACTTACGTGCACTTATAAAGCCTCTTTCTCTACTGGCACTGTCTACACACATGTATACCGCAGACTGATTTGATGTTAAAGATTTGCATTTTTGTCTAGAGGCAGCAGTGTTTTCATCATAGAAAAAAAATGGGTGAGAATTTCTCATCCTTTCTCAAAAACAGGGTGAGATTTCAGAAAGTTAAGTGAGATTTCTAAAAACTAAAAAAACACAAATAGACTTGAAAAAAAAATCCATTCTTTTATCATAATACATTTTTAACGTCTTCTATTTTTTAAAGCATTGAATATTTTTGCTGCATCATCATAGAAGATTTTGCCTTTACTAGGTATTTGTCCATCTTACATTAGTGCATAAAAAATTTGAACGTCTTACATGAAAAAACCTTACCTACGGTAAACACGTGGTTGCAGAGAAATGTGTTCTGAAAGGGGTTCCGTGGTTCGGAGGGGTTGTGTTCTGTTGTTCGAAAAAGTTCTGAACAATACTGGTAAATAGGGAAGCTAGATAACGGGGCAAATGTTGAAAATAATGAAAGATCCAGGAAGAAAAGTGAAACGGATTTTATTCTAAATGGCGTAATTCGAAGCTTTTTCCAAAATGCGAGAAATTCGCGAATTTTGAAATTAATTTATAGAATGCGCGAATTTCTCGCGGTAATCATTTTTTAATGCGAGAAAAGAAAAAAATATGCGAGATTCTCGCGCTATATTGAAAACACTGGGCAGTTTTACTTTCAGTTCAGTTCTTTTCATGAAATTCAATAAAATATGCAAATTCTCTTAATTTATTTCATTAGTGTACTATTTGTAGGGATTTAAAAAATATAAGTTACTGAGGTTCCCTTTTTATATTCTCATCTGATTAACTTTCAATATTGAATATTAAATTTTATGTGTTCTTTTTTAGAATGGCTGAGGAAAATGGAGTTAACATTCCGAAAGAGGAAAATGGTGAAGCAATGGAGACTGATAGTAAGCCAAAAGAGCTTGCGGAGTCTGGTTTAGCTGATACTGTCATTGCTAAATTAGAGGAGCTTGTAACTAATGGTAACCTTTAGTTTATTTTAAGAAATAATTTTCTTTTGTTTCAGCCTGCAGTGTCTGAACAATTATGCAAATTATGTCAAAACGAAATGTCTGTTGTAGCCTGTGGCTTCAAAATGTCTTTTTTTTTGCATCAAGTTTGTGCAAAGAGATCAATTGTCACATTGTATTAAAAATATCTGAATTGGTAAAAACTATGATAAAGATTGAAAAAATTAATCAAGAAACGCCACAGTTTTATGATAGAATTGTTGTATACAGTAATTGTATTTAGACATTGCATTTGTTTTTAGAACATTAGGCATTGTGAAATCTTAACAAAATCAGAACATTAGACAAAATTTTGTTTACAAGACATTTATTCTGCTTTTCAGGGGTGATTGTATACTTGATTTTTTGTATTATCCTGGATCTAGGAGTTAAGAGCAGAGCATATGATTTTTCAGGGAATTAGTTCTCATACTTTCGCTAATCAAATATTATAATCAGACGAAATTTTCACAGAATTCCTCTGACTAAAATTGCAATTATGGAACTTTCACTGATTCCCACTAATGAGATGTTTGCATAAACTTCTTTCATCCACTAATGGGCTGAAATCTGCCAATTTGTTACTTTTGTTTTGGCTATTTTGAATATTTCGAGCTACAAACTGGAATCCACTAATATTGCAGTTTTTATTCACTGGATTTGAATATCAAACATAGATTTTCGTATTTACATAATTTAAAAGTTACACATTGCATTTCATATTCACATGTTTTTAAAATCCAATATTGCATATATCCAAATTAAAAATATCTGAAGTTTAACAGCATGTAGAAATCACCATATTGTGATACGAGCTTAATTCGTTCCGTAACCTTCCTCGTATCTCAAAGCAATTTTCCCCATTGAAATGCCATTAATCCGTTCCAGCCCCAAAATAGCTAACCCCAATTGTTTTTGTTAAGTGTTTTTCAATAAGAAAAATGTATTTATAAATGACAAATATTGTACAAAAACATAATAAAGGAGAATGTAAAGCAAAATAACTGGTTGCATAAAGTGTGCATACATATTTGTATTTTGGTCACTTAAATGCAACTTGCACATAACTGAAATGATACTGTATGCTTAATTCTAGTTGCTGCTTTTAAAAAAAAACTGTTCAAGAAGGTTTGCTTCTGTAACCAGTGGCTAAACTGGTGGGCCGTGTGCAGCATAGCAGCTGGCTGTTCCTCGTATCTCAAATGTCGCTCGTATTTCAAAACTTCGCTCGCTCGACAGCCCGTATCTCAAATAACTCGTACGTTAGGGCACTCTGTCTCGAGGTACCACTGTACACGGAAATTTTCTAGAATTGACAATTTTTTTCTTTAATGATATATTATTTAAAATGCATACTTAAATACTACTTAAGCTTAATACAGGGTGCATAGCATTTATAAAAAGTGCTTAAAGGTGTTTAATTTTTATATCAGGGATGAAAGACTTCCGCGAAAAAGCGGAAATCCGATTTTTTCTCCCAATTTTTAAAATTTTCGACCATGTTCCAAAAACTAAAATTTTTGGGGAGTCCAATTAGAGAACCCAAGCCTCCCGGAAGATAGTCAGATTACCGCGACTTCCGCTATAGAGTGGAAAGAAGTCTAAGCGTTTCATTTCGGACTGTCGATATTTGATTTCTTTAGTTTGGCTGATTTTTGGAATTTTAAATATTAGGAACTGCGGCGGAATCTGCTAAGATCGCAATTTTTAATCAGATGATTTTAATATCAATCAGCGATTTTCGTATTTAACTGATTTAAAAGTTACTTGTTGCGATGTAAAAGCCGTACCAGCAATTCCTATTCACTCAATTTAAAAATCCAATATCGCGATTTGTATTTAAGCGTTTTTAAAACCCAATATTGCGATTTGTATTCTCGCGAGTTAAAAATCCGACATTGCAATTAGTATTCACGCATTTTTAAATCCAATATTGCGATTCGTTATTACCGAGTTGTAATATCAGATGTCGTTTTTCTTATTTGTACGCTATTTAAAAATTACTCATTGCGATTCGTATTCATGTGATCGAAAAATTATGCATTAAGATTCTTAATTAATTATGTGGTTTAAAAATTAAATATTGCAATTTGTATTTTCCTATTTTTAAAATCCAACAGTGTGATTCATATTCACATGATTTTAAAATCCAAAATACGCGATTTTAAAATCCAAAATCGCGATTCATATTCACACGATTTTAAAATCCAATATTGTGATTCATATTCACGCAATTTTAAAATCCAAAATTGCGATTCATATTCATGTGATTTTAAAATCCAAAATCGCGATTCTTGAAGGAAGTAGAAGTAAGTTTTCTTTTGAATTAGTTACTGTAAAGATGTGGTATATTTTTCATTAGTAAGTAATTTAATAGTCGTGCCTTCCTGTAATTGCTTAATTTTTTTTAATATAGTAGTGGTCACAGGTTTAAAATTATATTTAAAAAAATTTGAAGTTAACTGGCTAAATGCTTCTGCCACTTTAAATATTAAATAAAAATCTCCCAGCATAGTTAAAAGTTGCTTTTATAAATCTCAGTATCATATAGAACACTCCCTCCCCTCTCTCCTCCCAGTGGCCTGCATTGTAAAAGTTCAGCTTTTTTTTATTTTTGTCCACTTTCATGCCTGTTATATTCATTTTTTAAAAGCCCTTTTAGATGCTTTTTTATTGTGTTTTAATTTTCCCTTTTCGAAAATGAGTTTTTTCATTACAATGTTGGTTTTCGTTCTCACAATCCGGATTTTTCACTTAACGTGATCTGGAAGTTTCCGGAAATCTGAGATCTAGAAGTTTCAAGAACTTATCGATTGCATTTAAGTTTAAAAATTCTTGTATATTTTCTTTGGAAATATTGGAACTATAATTTTTACTTTGCATCTCTTTCATTTGTAAATATTTCTTCTGGTAGAATAATAAATATGATTAGACATTAAAGTAAACTTATGCATAATTTTTCATTTAAATTAATTTTTCATTATGAAGACATAAATTCTTTGAAATGCATCAGGGTTCGCCACTGGTAGCGTATGAAATCGCCAATCATTGTACATATTTGGTAAAATGTCTTGTGAAATGTCATAATTTTAATTTGGAGGAAAAAAAATTTGAAGTAATTCTAAGTCGCGTAACAGTAAAACGTGTAACTTTTCGTTTAATTTGTTACCTTGAATTAAATTTTTAATAAATAATCACTAGAAATTTTGACTCAGTTTTAAACATGAATTTTAAAAGGTAAAAATTTTTTTATCTTTATTAATGAACTTTTAATCATCCCCCAAAAAATGTAGACCATATTAAAATGTAATGAAATAATTATATATAATTCTAAAAATCATTGTGCTTTCATTGTTCTTCTATATTTTCAGAACTCCATGGGAGTATAACAATGCAGAGAACTTTTTTTTTTAAGTGCAGAGTGCTCAACCTTTTGTTAGAATTTAACTAAACGTTTTTTATAATTTCAAAAAGCATCTTAACTGTAAGAAATGCAATATATTCTAGATTCCAAAATTATATAAAATTTAAATACATGTATGGTATTTATAAATAATAAAATATAAAAAGCCAATGAAGACTGTTTTTTTTTTTTAAAAAAAAAGTTGATTCCAGCTTTTTTCAGAAAAAGCAAACTTTCTTACAAGCTTGAAAAATATGCAACTTAAACGATTAATTCACTTTCAGGAAAGTTAACTTATTCTGAATTAGACGAAAGAGCTTTAGAAGCTTTAAAAGAATTTCCCGTTGATGGGGCCTTATCTGTGCTAAAGGAATTCATGGAAAGTAGCCTTGAACATGTGTCCAACAAGAGCGCCTATCTTTGTGGAATAATGAAGACATATCGGCAAAAGTCCAAACTTGGTGCTTCTGCTGTTGCTGCTAAGGGACCAGATGAGGAAAAGATTAAAGTGAGTATTCTTAGTGGCTTCTGAAACACCTTAGTAATTTGGCAAATCTGCAGAGTAAAGCATTATTCAACTTTAAATAATGTGGAACAAATTAATTTGTTCCCTTTCCTTTTACCTGTATTCACATATTGGCCTTTCCTTTTACCTGTATTCACATATTGGCTGTAGAAACTACAAAAAAAGACACCTCAAAGTAGGAAATTTTATGACTATTAAAATTATTAATTAGCAAAAACACTGACCGCCACCCTGAACTCTCTGGCTTTTTAAGCCTCTGTAAGTTTAGGCCTTGGCATCGTTTTTTCTTGTTTCAACTCTTAACTGTTGGGACTGTGTCAATCAGTTTGGACCAGGGATGGCAAGTTTTTGACACATGACGGTTTTTACCGGTTTATACCATGGTTTTTACCGTCATGTCAAAAACCCATAGTTCTGGTCAAACTGTATTTTTATTTGAGTTTAACTGCTTGTAATTTAAAATTAATTCAATTTAGGCAATGAAATTAGAAAAAAAGTTGTTAAAAGATATTTAAGAACAGATTCTTGCATTTTCCCAACATGATTGTATTAAAACATACTATTTGAAGTAAAATATTAGGATACTAAACAAAATTTTCAACATTTTTGACCATCATTTTGTTTGGCATATTACATTACTGAAGAATGTCAAGTCATTCTTGACTTAGAGTTTGTTAGTAACTACAAGTTTTGAAAGTTTTGTTTAGCTTATTTCTAATATTTAAGAAATGCCAAGTTTTAAATTCTTCTTTTTACTTCTTGAATTTATTAATATCTCCAAGCTTTTTTGTTTGTTTGTTTATTTCTAACAATTAAGAAGTGCAAAATTTTGAATCCTTTGCAAATTAAGCTATAATGATAAAAATAAGTATCACTATTTTCTATAAGTATATTACAATATTTCTGTACGAATGTATATCCTTTTATAAGAATGTATATAGTTGCAAAATCAATATCAATCGTTTACAACATTCATTTATAAACGCAATTATGTGAAAATAATATATTGTCCGCTATATGCCATAAATTAAAGAAAATAGTAGGTTTTTGACGGTTTTTACCACTGTCATGTCAAAAACCAGTTTTTGATGGCAAAAACCCAACCCTGGTTTGGACTTTCATTATTTGTGATAGAATTTGTATTGAAATATATAATCCAATTTGGACTGTAGGTTAGAATTTCTGATTCTTAATTAAAACATTAAAAACCAAAATATCGTTAAAATGATGAGATTCTCCTTTATTCACAACTCAAGTACAGGGTTCCCGCGGCCTTGAAAAGTACTTGAATTTCCTTTTGATTTTCAAGGGCCCCTAGAAGTACTTGAAAATGATATTAAATCCTTGAAAATTTCGAAATGACCTTGAAAAGTATCGAAAACTCAGGAAAACAGCCCTATTTCCAGTATTTCATGTTTACCTTTTTGACGCGCGTAAGTGTGAGAGAATGACTTTCCCGTCTTTCTGATGATGACACGTACTGTTTGATTTTAGAATTTCATGTACATTTGGCTGATTTTAGGAATTTTAAATATTGGGAACATTGCCAGATTCTGACAAAATCTCAATTCTTATTCAGGCGATTTTAATATTAATCATCGATCTTCGTATTAGACTTATTTAAAAATTATGTGTTGCAGGGATGAAAGACTTCCACGAAAAAGCGGAAATCCGCTTTTTTTCCTCAATTTTGAAAATTTCCGACCATGTTCCAAAAACTAAAATTTTTGGGAAGTCCTATTGGAGAAACCCAAGCCGCCCGAACGATAGTCGGATTACCGCGACTTCTGCTATAGAGTGGAAAGGAGTCTCGTTTCGTTACGAGCGCCGATATTTGATTTTATTGTTTGTTTGGCTGATTTTTGGAATTTTAATTATTAGGAACTGCACCGGAATTTGCTAAAANCTACCCCGTCTTCTGCCCGAATCTTTGCTTATTCAGACTTTGTATACCTAGCTTAAAATAAGCCTTAATGCAAAATTCAAACCTGACGTTTTTATGCATCATGAATTTTATTCTCGACTTGATGCCAATCACCCTTGTTTTTGTTTTTTTTATATATATGTACTTAGATCACTTTCCGAAATCAAGAGAGAGCAATGGAAGTCTTATTTTTCAGTACTGCTATTATCGACTAACATTTATCGTCAAAACATTTTAGTTTAAATTCTTAAATTTTAGTCTATCTTTAACTAAAATTTAAGTCCTGGAGAATTTTATAATAAGTCTTAAGAAGTCCTTGAAAAGTACTTGAATTTTATTTTTATAGTAGAGCATGAACCCTGAAGTAGCATTTATGGGATCTCTCTGGTCCCATATCCCAAAAATAAACTCACCAACTTAATGCATAACAAAATTTAAAGTGAACAAAAAAATAATCAAACAGTTGTCGCCATAGCACTGCATGCAATGGCGACACATGCACAGTTTACTATAACTCTTGATTATTGTAGTTGAAAAGTGTGATGACGGCATCAAATCCAAACCAAAACTTATTTTGCGAATGGGTAATAAATATCGAAAAAAAATGCTGAACTCTAGTTAGTACCTTTTTCTAATAAAACAAATTGTTCAATACTGTTAACTCTATTTCGCAGAATTATGTACTTGCAGCAAAAGAGAGCCCTGACACAGTTTGTTTTCTGGCTCTGTTATGCATTAATTTGATTTTCTTTTTTTTGCTTTTATTTATAGTAGTTACATAAATTTTCAGGCAATATTAGATAGAACAGGCTACACCTTAGATGTCACTACTGGTCAGCGTAAATATGGCGGACCACCACCTGACTGGGACAACAAATCTCCACCTGGAGCTGGCTGTGAGGTGAGTATATTTTTTTAAGCTTTAGTTCCTTATTATTAATTTTAAACTATGGCTTACTTATCAGATTTTCAATCGTTTTAGGTGTTTGTTGGTAAAATTCCTAAGACTATATTTGAGGATGAATTGATTCCGGTGTTTGAAAAGTGTGGACAGATTTGGGATTTAAGATTAATGATGGATCCCTTGACTGGTCAAAATCGTGGATATGCATTTATAACTTATTGTAATAGAGAAGCTGCTCAATCAGCTGTTAAACAGGTAACATTTGTGGTATTAATGTTTTGTGCAGTTCTAAAATACAAATTCCTGTTAAGATTAAAGTAGTTCTTCCCACAGAATCACAGTGAAATTGCCGCTGAATGTTAAATGGTTTTTACAGAAAGATTTTTTTTCTTTGGGAAATTAAAAATTTTGGTTTTCTTTTTGAGGATTTTTTTCCTGCAGAATATTCAAAAGATTCTTAAGATGCCTCTAATATTCAAAAGATGACTTTCTTGTGCATCAGAGAGGATAGAAATGTGATTTTTCTATTCTAATTCTTATTTGAGAATTAAAAAGAAATCGACAATAAATAATATAAAAGGAAGAATTATAAATTGCAAGAGTTTAAAAGTTAGCTTGCTCTAGAAATCATGTACTTGTTTTTTTTATTTTTTTAAGAAACGTTAATAAAATGGCTGTGACTCTTGATGGTACACATTAAAAATTTAAAATCTAAATCACACTTTTAAAACTTCACTTTATCACTCACAACTGGCACCTATTCCATTCTAAAAATGAGAAGTGTTATTAGAATTTTTTTTCTCACAATTGCTAGGAATTTTTATTATTTTTTGAATTTCAATGTTTTTTCCAGCTCAGTTATTGATATTCTTGTGCTTTTTTTGTTTTTAAATATCGATATTATTATGGCATGTGAAGTTTGTATTGCGGATCCTAGAAATCACTCTGATACATTTGGTTTTTGCCCATATCATAGTTACTCCATGCAGTGTTTCAATCATTCTTTGGATAATTATTGCTACGGATTTTTACATTTGAAAAAGAAAATCTTGATCTTTTTTATGCTTTTTTATTACATTTAATTTACTTTTAATGTGGCAATTTTATTATTATTTTTTTAATTTTTATTTTTTTTTAACTTTTTGGCAGTTAAAGCTAGTAAAGACTTGAATATCAGCTAATTCAGGCTCTAATTGCAAGTACCACAAGTTTCCTCAGGATTTGTAAAATTCTGATTATTTCTCTGTATGTATATTATTTCTACACTTAAAATTTAAATTGTCAACTTTTGACCCGCTCAGTTTACGCTGATGGTATCATATATCCACAGTGTTTCGATTGTATTTTTGGCGATTACTGGTATTGATTTTTACATGGTTTTTCAATGTCCCAATATATGTCGTCTGACAATATGAAGACTTGGAATCTTGTATGTGATTATTTACATTTTAACGCAATGACCATTAATTTTTGTAGGAGTTATATTTATTGATTTTGACAGTTTTTATAAATCCGATATTTTATTACATTATTTATTTCAACAATTGAATCCTGAAACGAAACAAGCATTTGAGTAACCCAGTCGACGATCTTTATTACAGTTGTTACTGCTACCAGATTTCATAATTTTTTTTTAATGTGATGCACAAAATTCGAAAAAAAAAATTTAAAAGTTTTTCTCCCTCCAAAATACGAAAATATTGCTCATCTATTTAAAAAAAAAAAGTTACATTTAATGTGTAGCTTTTTTTTTTTTCGTTTTTTAAACAGTGCTTTTACTTTAAAATAGTATCATATATATTTGTTATTATTAAAAGTATCTTGCAGAAAGATGTTAGTGGTAGAAAGTTTTGTCTCAGAAAGCTGAAACAATTCTGTCACAGCTGCTAAAGATTAAAAATGTAAAAGATGTTTAATATGAAATATTTAAATGAAATGTAAATTTTGGCAATCTTTCTATATTTACCAAAGCATTTTCGGTTTTAAGTTTATAAATTTTTTTTAAACATTTACTTAAAAATCCTGTTTCACTTAAAAAGCTAAGTTTTTAACAATTGCTTTCAGACTGACTTGATTTTTATTCCCCAATTTGCCAATAAAAAGCTTATAATTTTTAAAACAATGTAAGACAATACTAACATTTCAATTACAGCTAATAAGGATGTCTACTCTGGAACACAGAGGTTTCTGCACTCATTTACATTTCAAGTTACCTGTACATTATCCCTTTATTTTATTGTAAAGTTTACGTAACAGGTGTGGTTTCATTAAATAAACATTTTGGAGGTTATTTGATTGGATGGACTATGTATTCTTTTATCTTCCTTTTTTTTTTTATAAATCTTCCATTTGATTTTTAGCTTTCAATTTAAAAAGAAAATTCACATTTTAACCATTTTTATGTACTAAACATTGCAGATTAGCTTTAAGTATTGCATTAAGCTCAAAATATTTTTCAAAAATGAATTTTAAAAAATTTATTTGGTCTTTAAGTATTAACATGTGTTACAATTTGTAAAAATATTAAAATAATTGTATCTTTTACTGCTCTTGCTAACATGTCAATAAAAATTTTTGAAAATGGAACTGAAATTTTTTTAATTTTCAATTTTGAAATTCAAAATTCAATTTTTCGGCATGTGCCATCTAAATTTTGAAGGTTTTGGCAAGTTTTGGTTTTTACTTTTCAGCTGGATAATTATGAAATCAAAAGTGGAAAGAATCTGAAAGTCAATGTATCAGTTCCTAATCTTCGGCTTTTTGTCGGTAACATCCCAAAGAGTAAGAGCAAAGACGAAATCTTTGAAGAATTTGGTAAATTAACAGGTATGAAAAATTAAACCTGACATTTTATAAAAATTTTTGACAGGTAAATTCTTGTTTTGTTAAAGTGTTATGGTCAAAATTATTGTCTTGGCCTTATAATTTGTACAAATATTCTCTTTGGAAAATTTATTATTTTTAGCATTGTTTTAAGTGCTGTTTTTGTAATTAAAAAGTTAGTTTATATATATATGTAAAAGTTTAGCATTGTAGACTTAAGCTAAAATGAAGTTTAAATTGTTGCTGTTTTGAAGACTTAAGTTTAGTCATCACCTAATTTGCTGTCTTTCCTTTTTAGAAAAAATGATTATCTTTCCTAATGAACTATAATACAATTCAAGAACAAAATATTATTTAAGTTTTGCATGAATGAAAAATTAAGTCATATACTACTGTAGTTGTTACGAGCTATTTTTCAATTGAATACTGAATGTTTGAGTATTGTACGATCAGTAATCAAACAGTTTGTTATTGCTCTGATAAAAGCTGTGGCTCACATCTTAATTTCAGGATTCATAGTTGTCCCATTTTTCCTGTTTGAGGATATTTTCTCCTGATTTTTTTAGCCTTTTTTTAATTTTTTTTTCTTGGATGTATGTGTTCAGAACATTTAATTTTCTAGGAATACTGATTTTAATATAATGGATTTGAGGTATCAAAGGATTTGGATTTTTATTCAGCATCCTTCTATTTTTATCAAAATATTAAGTTCATAGTTGTCCTGATTTATTTAAAAAAATATTTTGCCCTTAAATGATTTTTAGCTTCCCCTCCTCTCAATATTGTTAATTTTTGTGTGTACAGAATATCCTATTTAGTGAAGATACAAATGCAGGTTAGGGTGTAATAGGGGGGAAAAAGGTTCTTCATAAAGATTATTGCATCAGTAATTGGAGGAGGGCTTTTTTAAAAAAAATTTCTCTGGAAAAAAATTCTAAAACATTGTGTGCAATTTCCCTTGCTTGCGACTTGAATGTCTCACCTTTCTTATAAATGAAAGGTGATGGGACTAACTGAACAAAAATTAAAACAAATGCAAAACTAACAGTGATTAAAACAAACAAAAATCTTTTAAAACTCTCAAGCCGCTCCTTCAAAAAAATCGAGAAAATGGAAAAAAGACTGGTTCTTAACACTGCCTCTGGGGCTGCCACTAAAATCAGGGGCGCTAAGATTCTCACGCTGACTTGTGCCAAGCTAAGATCAGGATTCAGACAGATGCCTGGAGTTTTGAAGGTCTCATTATAGACTCTAATGTATGTGTGTTATAACAAATTAAACTAAACTCAGTGGCAAGACAGCCCATAGAGGGCCAAGGCCTACTGTGCCCATCTCAGTTTTCTTGACCTTTGGCTCTGAGGTGCAAGAGCAGATGTTCTGGTTAGGTGGTCAGCCGAACGCGAAACACCCAGTGTTTAGTTCCCAAACATGCTTGGTACTCATTTATCTACCCACTGAAGGGCTGAGTCAACCTTGCCCGGCCCGAGGATTGAACCCTGTGGCACAAAGTGCAGCCACTCGGCCACCAGTCGTCATTATGACAACTTGCAAACCCTTATTTATTGAATAAAACATTTATAAAAACAAGTTGTGCAAGTATTTTACCAGTAATGATGCTTTTGCTCAAAAATAAGTTAATTAAAAAAAAATTACAATGGTTTGTTAGTATTCAAAATAACTTATTGGTGCTTAATTTTTTTGAGGAAAGTTTTTATTACGCTATACTGAGTATCTTATGAAATCTAACACTGAAAGACTCAATTTAATCCCTCCTATCTGGTTTAACAGACTGTTTATATAGTAGTTAGTGTTAATTCATTAACTCTTTTGCGAAGGGAGTTGCAAGCACCCGCATATCGCTAAGTCCTGCAGTCTGTTTTGTGACTACTTGTCCAGGATAGTGGGGGTTTTGCTGTTTTACTGAAATGTGAATGTGTCCTTCTGCTGTTGGCACCAGTTCTGAACAATACTGGTAAATAGGGAAGCTAGATAACAGGGATCCATGTTGAAAATAATGAAAGATCAAGGAAGAAAAGTGAAACGGATTTTATTCAAAATGGCATAAGAGGAATTTTTTTCCAAAATTCGAGCATTTTGAAATTGATTAATAGAGTGCGCGATCTTCTCGCGTTGATAATTTTTTAATGCGAGAAAAGAAAAAAATAAGCGAGATTCTCGCGCTGTAGTGAAGATACTGTAATATGTGATGGCCAGGAGTGAGTGTTTTATACTGGCGTGAAAGGATTAGGGTATTTACTCTTATGTATGATTATGTCCTTTATATAAAAATATGTAAAACAATGGATTGCCAATTTTTTCTAATAAAATAACTGGTCTCAGTGTTCAATTAAAATCACAAGTTTCAATTTAAAGGGTACAATTTAGTTTTTTTTTTTTTAAATTATGTTATTGGTCTACTCACTCTTAAGTATTAATTATATTATTCTGGTTAAAATGAAAATATTTATTTTGGTCCACTGAATGCCTAGTATTATTACTGCCAAATCTAAGTAATTAAATTGTTATTCTGTTAGAAAAAACATGTTTTTTTTTTCCTTAAGTAAACTTATTTGTCTGTTTTTCAGCTGGACTGTCCGAGGTCATAATCTACAGTACTCCTGACGATAAAAGAAAAAACAGAGGCTTCTGCTTCTTAGAGTATGAATCTCATAAAGCAGCTTCTTTAGGCAAAAGAAAGTTAGGCACTGGCCGTCTTAAAGTTTGGGGCTGTGATATTATAGTGGATTGGGCTGATCCACAGGAAGAACCTGATGATGAAACAATGTCAAAGGTAAGTCCATTTTCTCTTTTACTGATCACAATATTTAAAGTTTTTCTTGAAATTAGATTAGGTTTTTATAGTATTGGGAATATGCAAAATGTATAAATCCCATCTTTTCTCAGAAATGGTTTAAATGCATGTTTTACTTGGTTGGGTATACCTACAAGATATTTAAATAATTGTTTCCATTAAGCGAACTGAAGTAGAAAAAGTTGTTATTTGTGGGAAATTAAAATGCTTTCAGCTTGTTAAATTATCTTATGGTGTAATATTAGACAATCATCAGCTTTTAACTGTAGGTTTAGGTCTGGTAGCTTAAGCTACTTCAAGTCTGATAGAGTGAAACACCCAGGAAAGACCACTTCTGATTACCACCACTTTTTGGAGGTACAAATTTTCTCCATAGACTTTTTTTGTTAAAGAAAGCGTTTTGGCAGGTTGCGTAACGTTTTTTAAAGGTACTTATTTTCGTTTTTTTAAAACCCCTGAAAAGTGCTTTTTTTCATAGGGTGTTTTTAAGAAGTGCTTAATTTTTCCCTTTTTCAAAATGAGATTTTTACTTTACTATGCTGATTTTCGCTTCGAATTATGAAAAAAGACATAGTTCACATTGTTCTTTTCAACGTTTTCATAATTAATTCAACCCCAATCTTTTTCGGCGTATAGTCTGCAGCATATGAACACTCGTTTTACATGATTCAAAATTTCATGATTGCTGACAATTGTCAAGAACCAAATGCAGAAAAGATTGTGCTCTGTAAAAAGTTCTGATTTTTTGCTAGCCGCGATCTGGAATTTACTGGAAATACCAAGGTCTAGAAGTTCAGAAAATCATCCATCACATTTATGTCTATAAATTCTTGTATATTTTATTTAGAAGTATTAGAACTAGAATTTATTTGAAAAATTTTTAATATTTTTTCTTTTAGAATAGTAAATGTGATTAGGCATAAAAGTAAACTTATATATAATTATTCATTTAAATTATTATTCATATAATTTATTTATAATATATTATTCATATAATTTATTTGGAATTTCGAATTTTTCAAATATCAATGATTTAAATTGATGAAGACATTAATTTTTTAAAATGCGTCATTAATGATTTTACAAGAAAATTTTTCCTCAATTAAGGAAACATGGGAAATAAGATTTAAAAGTATTCAAATTATTTGTGTGAGGCTCTTATTTAGAAGAGCTCTTTTTGAAGATACAACCTCATGTTGCAGTCTGATTGCACTATACACGATGCTATCAATGATTTACTTTTATAGTTGAAAGTTAAATTAGGAAGGGGAAAAAAAGTTATTTTTGAAGAAACAAGCATCTCAAACAAATCTCGTCTCATCTTTTAAACCTAACTAATTTTTGTGATATGAAATTGAGTGCAACTTAAACAAACAAACAAAAAAAANAAAAAAAAAAAAAAAAAAAAAAAAAAAAAAAAAAAAAGACATAATTTGTAAATTTGTTTTTACACCTAATTGTACTACACTGTTGGAATCATTTTTAGAGACATTAAATTTTCAAAGATCTTTCTTGTCATGATGCCAACAAAAGTGATATTTCCGCACAAAATTGACTGAAATTAAAGTAGTTTGTGAAAGATCATGTACCTTTGTTCCGTACTTAAATCGTGTACCTTTGTCAATGGAGGTAACATCTAAAAACGGCCAGTTTCCATAATCGACCGTTTCACCATAGAACGGAGAGTGGTCACTCCCGAGAGGTTTCGCTGCAGTGAGAAACTTTAGTCCCGTCACCTTAGGCTGCTTTGACTCAATTTCAATGTATGACGCCTAAACATTCTTGCTGAAATTGATTCTATGTTTTTTAGGTGAAAGTGTTGTATGCTCGTAATTTAACTAATGAATTGACAGAAGATAAGTTGAAGGAGATGTTTGAAGCTCACGGTAAAGTGGAAAGAGTAAAAAAGATCAAGGATTATGCTTTTATTCATTTTGCTGAAAGGGAACCTGCAGTCGCAGCTATGGAAGAATTTAATGGCAAACAATTTGGTGCATCCACACTGGAAGTGTCTCTGGCCAAACCACCCTCAGATAAAAAGAAAAAAGAAGAGGTTCTTAGAAATAGGGAACGGAGAATGATGCAAACTCTTGGCAGAGGCGGCATGTAAGTATGCTTTCTTAATAAATTTTCAGATTCTTATTCAAAATATTTGTTATGAGAAGAAAAGTTTTCGCCAAAAAAATTTGTTTATAAGGATAACTACGCATGTGCATTTTAGATAATAGTTCTAACTAAACTAAACTCAGCGGCGCGACAGCCCTAGAGGGCTAAGGCCTACTGTGCCCATCTCAGTTTTCTTGGGCTCTGGGGTGGAGCAGATGTTCCGGTCAGCTGAACGCAGAACCCCCAGTTCCCTACATGCTTGGTACTCATTTATCGGCCCACTGAAGGGATGAAAGGCTGAGTCAACCCTGCCCGGCCCGGGGATCGAACCAGGGACCTGTGGCGCGAAGCGCTACCGCTCAGCAACCCAGCGTCAGATAATAGTTCAGATTCCTTTTAAAAAAATATTTTATGATGACTATTCATGGTGTGTAGTATTTTTAAAAAGTACTTAAAGGTGCTTATTTTTGATATTCGTTTTTGTATAAGCCCTAAAAGACCCTAATTTGGCTATGCACCCTGCTATTGATCCATGGGCTGTGAGTTTTTTTCAAGGAAAAATAAGTCCTATTAGAATGTTTTCTTCCAGCCCATGTGAAAGAAAAATATGAAGCAGTTTNAATAAATTTTCAGATTCTTATTCAAAATATTTGTTATGAGAAGAAAAGTTTTCGCCAAAAAAATTTGTTTATAAGGATAACTACGCATGTGCATTTTAGATAATAGTTCTAACTAAACTAAACTCAGCGGCGCGACAGCCCTAGAGGGCTAAGGCCTACTGTGCCCATCTCAGTTTTCTTGGGCTCTGGGGTGGAGCAGATGTTCCGGTCAGCTGAACGCAGAACCCCCAGTTCCCTACATGCTTGGTACTCATTTATCGACCCACTGAAGGGATGAAAGGCTGAGTCAACCCTGCCCGGCCCGAGGATCGAACCAGGGACCTGTTGTGTGAAGCGCTTCCGCTCAGCAACCCAGCGTCAGATAATAGTTCAGATTCCTTAAAAAAAAAAAAATTTTATGATGACTATTCATGGTGTGTAGTATTTTTAAAGGTGCTTATTTTTTATATTCGTTTTTTTAAAAGCCCTAAAAGACCCTAATTTGGCTATGCACCCTGCTATTGATCCATGGGCTGTGAGTTTTTCTTCAAGGAAAATATGTCCTATTAGAATTTCTTCCAGCCCATGTGAAAGAAAAATATGAAGCAGTTTGGCTTCCCCCCCTTTCTTGGAAGCAATATCTTTTTTATTGTTTTGACATAATTCATTCTAATCACATGGGCCATCCAATTCATTCTATTTATTTATTTACTTGTTTTAATTTTCTTTAATTCTTGCAATTTACTTTATTTGTTTCAATTTTCTGGCTATTTAATTCATAGTGTTTAAATAAGTAAGAGCTATGAAGCAACAAATAGGGGAAAAAATTTAATGACTTAGTTTTTTTGTGATTTAATATTTCAATTCTTAAATGAATTTACATAAATATTGGAACCTCATAAAATATTCTATATCTTAAGTGATTTTTTCTGTAATGCTCTTCTGCATTTTAAAAAATTAATTGGGCAGATATGGTTTTTCTCAAGTTAGAAGCAATAAATATCCAGTATCAAGACCACTGTTACAGAAAAAAGCTAGAGAAGCAGCTGAGAAATTGGGAGTAAAGCATTTTAAATCTTTTTCACCTTATCTTAAATAATATTTGATAAAAAAAAATATCAAAAGTAGGGTAAATTTACATTTAAAAACAATTTAATGCAACTCTTCATTCTAATTTACTGAGCGCTGATTTTTCTTAATTATAATTATGCTTATTAGGGATTTAACAAGCTAGGCCCTAAATTAAATGGTTAATAATTTAACAGTAAATAAGTTTTTATTTTATTTATTAGCCTGAAAAAGAGTTGGAAAGTGATACCCTCTGTGACAATTAACTAGTGAAATAAATAACTGTAGAATGCTGTTTAAAAAATAAAAGCTTTTTCTCATCTAATCAAATTTCATAATAATACTATAGCTCATTTAAAAAAATATTCTAAATCAGGTTAACATGAATGTTTTATTTTGACAGTCATAAATCTGTACTTCTTAGGTAAATTTTTATTTTTTTTATTTTTTATGTAGGATGGTTGGAATGTTACCTACACCTCCTCGAGGCAGAGGGGGACGAATGCCTCCTAATGCTCCCAGAAATTATGGTATTGCCATTTTCATTTTTTCTTGCATCTCTTTTAAGAAAAGTTTTTTTTTGTAATGTTAAATATGCTAATGACATGTGTTTTTCCTAGATTATGATTACGATTACTATGGAGGAGGAGGGTTTGGTGATTTTCCTGGAAATGATGCCGGTAGTTATGGTGAACCCCCTTACTATGAAGATTTCTATGCACCCCCTTTTGAGGACTACGGTTTTGATTATGGCTTCAACTCTCCTCCAAGGCCTTATCCTTCTTCTCGTGGTCCACCACCACCCCCAGAACGAGTAAGAATCTTTTGCAATTTGTTACAGCTTGTATAGCTAACTCTAAATTTTTTCCTTCCGTTTTATGCCATTCTGCTACTGCAGACTCAAACCTATTGCACCGCACAGTCATTGAAAATTAATTGGTATAGGGTGTACTTGGGGATTATCCTGTCGGTGTGTCAACACTCGTGAAAATGCGGAGTAAAAAAACCCACAATCTATTTCAACATGCCAAAGGAGGCTCTACTAAAGCAATTGTTCCCTATTTTCAAACGAAAAATTTGACTCTAAAAAAGATGTACTTTTTAGCGATGCCATATTTTTAGAAAAAAAAAAGTGATAAAAGAATATTCATTAGAAACGCTCTTTAAAAAATACTGTGTCTTAATAACGAGGATAAAAGAAGTTAATAAACAGAGAAACTGAAATGGTTAATTGTTCTTCAAATATAATTTAATGTTAAAAATCAAAGTTTTCTAAGTTACTAGTTATCTTACTTACTGTCCAGAAAAATATAGTCTGTCAGAAATATTCTGTTCATATGCTGCAATATAATAGAAACAGTAAAAGACAAAGCAAATAAACTAACAAATTAAAAAAGTTTTTAATTCTTAAGAAGTGTTGAATAAATGTAATTTTGTGCCTGGATATAATTAAAAAAAAATCAGCAATGCAAAACTTTTAAGTATAGTGTAATTAGAACTGGGCTATAAATCGATATATCGCGACATATCGATTTAACGCCTGCATCGGCATGCCGAGACAGCGACTTTCGTTCCAGGTGATGCATCAAAAATCTGATTTAAGCCGTCGAGTAAAGAAGACGAACGAAATAGCGATACAAGACACGCAAGGATGCCTACTCGCGCTGAGGAAGGCGATGTACGTATCGTTATATTGAAATGGCCTTGATTGATGAGCGGTAGAATCAGTTTTGAGAACATATATCGTGATCTCGCATGTTCGTTTCCGCACCTCTTAGTTTTTTTCTTCTTCTTTGATATCGTTTCTTGTAGATTATTTTCAGTGGGGACTGACTTTGTGATCGCTTGTTTCTTAATTAATTAGGTAAATTTTTTCTTTGAAACAAAACTTTTTTATTTTTAAACGTGAAAATTAATTTTGATATTATATCTTTAAGTATTACTTTACATTATTGAATTTATTACAAACGGAAATCTAATTTAAGGTGCCCATAAAGAATTAAATTTATTAGGCTATTTTTTACTTTATTTTGATTTATTAAAAACTTTTTGGATAAAATAATAATTTAATGGGTTTTTATTACTGATTTTAAATTTATAAATCTTTAGTTGTTTTCATTTTTATAAATAAAATTATAACAAAACTTATTTTTCTTTTGGATTTGGACATAAGTCAATCAACTTTGTTTATTCGAAAAAATTAGTAATGTTTGCGATTGCGACTTCTTTTTTTAAAATCATTTAGCAATTCGTTTTATTAAAGAGTATAATCGTGTTTTTTTAATTTTCTTTCGATATTGTCAGTTGAATATATTATCGAATATCATAATTCTTTTGTTTTTATTTTTAAGAAATCAAACCTTACTTTGTTTTTTCGTTCAGAATTCGGTAATTATTCAATTTAACTTTATTATTAACGTGAAATAATAATGATAAAAAATAGTGCTGTTTTAAAAGATTTTTTTTTTTTAAAATTTATTTAGCACTTTGTTTTAAGCACACAAATAATTTTTAACGAACTTATTTTTTAAATTTTCTTTCTGTATTGTTAGGTAAATATTTTGATAAGTATCAATTTCATTTACTTTTTTATTACTTATTTTTAAACTAAGAAATCTTTCGTTATTTGCGCGATCATTTTTAGAAAATATTACATTAATATCTTTCTTAAGCAAAATATATACATCAAATTCATAAATTGATTTAAATCAATCTGAGTATGAAGTTTTGATAGAAATCCGACTTTCTGCGCCTTACAAGTAAATGAATTTCAAAAATACTATACCGCGATACATCGCTATATGGCGATACAAAACTGACGATGCATCACGATATAAAATTTCTTATATTTCCCAGTCCTAAGTGTAATCTAATAATTTCAATTTACCAAATTTAGCTTTTCCGTTTGCCTTTTCAACTATAAATTTGCAAGCCATGTGCAAGTTTTAGAACTTTAAAAATATGTGTAAAAACTATTTCTAATAGTGTTAAGTAAAAAATATGATTTTAGATTTTTTATTAAATCTATTCAAATTCTATGTATAAAAAACTTATAAAGTACTTTTCCAAAGAAGAAATATATATTTAGCCAAATATTTCACAAACATTCAGCCAACCGAATATTCATTACATCCCTACTTAGGAATTCTGAAGTTTCTTAAGATTAGGCATGGTTAAATGACAATACAGTAGATGCCATAACTCCAATTTATTATATTCGAATTTTTTGTTTTAGACACAAATGTTTTAGTTATGATAATCAACAATGGATTTTCTTCAAGTTTTGGAAATTGAAATATCTCTTAATCTATCAATTCTTGCTTTTAAGTAATATGAATTATTTTCTAGTTAAGCTTCAATTAACGCATGGCCCTTTGCTCGAATATCTCTTAAAGTAAATGCATTTACATTTAAATGCATCTACCTCTTTTTTTTTAAAAAAAAAAAAAAAAAACATTTATCTTTTTTTAAGACAAGAATTGAACTATTGGAAACATTAATTTTAGATATTGATATTAATTAGGTGCGTGGTAAACATTTTACATTGCTATTATTTTCATACAATTTTTGTGTTTTACTTTAGAATTGATAGTTCCTTTTCATCTCTAATAGTTGACGTATCTTTGAAGACTCATTTTTGTAAGTTTTATCTCCTCACAACTCTACAAATGTTCTAATTTTTGACACACATGCTCGCTGGCTCAAAACAATAATCTAGTCTGTCAACTTAGAATTGTGTGATGAAAGGAGTTATACTGGCAAATCATCCTTTTTACATCTGAAGTAAGCAAGGACCTTGTTCTGACTGTTTTTGTGGTTTTCTACCATTCTGAGATTGCATCAGTTTTTTTCTGAAATCCTGTTTGATGATGCTTTTTTCAACATTGAACTTGAAGGTTTTTTATAACTGATGTTAAGCAGCCAATCCAATTGTGGGTTTATGACTACTAATATTCAACTCCATAGCCTTGTAATTTTGAACCCAATCCAAAAGACGAGAGAGTTCCTGCATTAGGTATTGGGGGAAATTTGATTTGAGGAGGACTTTTTGATGGAAATAACCCGCATTTGTGTTATATGGTGAGGTAAACCACGAGAACCTCCCACTGTTAGTCTGACTACAATGGGACTCTAACCAACGATCCATCTACCGTAAAGAATATTTTACGTCAGCACTGTGGTCTGATAAATAAAAAAAATGTAGCAACCTTTTTTATTTCTTAAGTAATTTTAAAAACTATCGGATCGAAGTTCTGGCTTGTTTTATTTTGAGACACAGTATGACTTAACTTTAAATTTACTTATATTAATTAATTTTTTAAATATATTTTGCTGGAGAGCAGGATTACATGCAATACCTTAGCAATACATTACATGTAATACCTTAGCAATACAATAGCAATGCATTACATGCTTACTATAGCAATACGTGCCTACAATAGACATGCTTACAATATAACTTTTTTTTTTTTATTGTGTAGATTAAAAAGTTTTGTATGGAAAAAATTATTATTTTTTCTTCACTTGGCTNTACATTACATGCAATACCTTAGCAATACATTACATGCAATACCTTAGCGATACATTACATGCAATACCTTAGCGATACATTACATGCAATACCTTAGCAATACATTACATGCAATACCTTAGCAATACATTACATGCAATACCTTAGGCAATACATTACATGCAATACCTTAGCAATACATTACATGCAATACAATAGCAATTGCATTACATGCTTACTATAGCAATATGTGCCTACAATAGACATGCTTACAATATAACTTTTTTTATTTTTTATTCTGTAGATTAAAAAGTTTTGTATGGAAAAAATTATTATTTTTTCTTCACTTGGCTACATTTAAATTAGAAAGTATAGATACTAATAATTCAAAAATTAATTTAATTAATTATTTTTTTTAATAGGAGACCGTTTGGTTTCACCCAACCAACTTTACGCTTTTGAAGGTCTTTTTAAGAATTATAGCTAAATGTGAATGTATCTCAAGTTTTTTAGTTAGAGATTTTCACATGTCTTTAAAACTTAGGAGGATATGCTTTCCCATATAAAGTTGTGTAAAACATTATTTCATGTATTTGTTGTGCTAAAAAGTTTTCTTTTTTTAGGTTCCTCGATCTGGTGGAAGAGTTGCTCGTTCTGCTCCACCCAGAGGTTCACCCGGCCGAGGAGGTAGAGGTGGACCTCGTGGCCGGGGTGTAGCTCGAGGAGGAATCGGTAAGCCTATGGGGCGTGGTGGTGTCAAACCCAGGGGCACTATGGCTGGTAAGCGTAAGTTTGATAGTGGTCAACAGAACCAGGGGGCCTCCAAGCGCCGCTTCCAGAATAGCCGAGGGTCTATGGGTAATTCCTGGGGTTCACAGCCCATACCTCAACAACCACGTGGCGCCTCTGGGGGCGACGTCGAGTGGTACCAGGACTCCTTTGGCCAGCAGTGGTGATTTTAAAAAAAACATATAAGTGAACTTTCTATAATTAACAGACTTGGCATTTCCCAAGACTAGTTCTTATTTGCTTAACTGGCAGGCAGAGTGGATTGGGCAACATGTGGGAACGCCTAATAATTTAATCAATTTGGGATGTTGTGTTACTTTGTAAAATAAATCCACATGCTGGCCTGGCCTGTTCCCACATTTAGGCCCCCCACTCTGCTGGCTTACTATCAATTTTATTGTCAACTATTACAGACTAAAGTAGCTGTGTAAAACTCATGTGTATCTCTTTAAGTGAAATTGTAATCATTTATGGATCTACTCTCGAGCAAATGTCATGTGTTTCTAATCATTTGAGTGTGTGTGTGTGTATCATTATGTAATTATGTGATTGCACAATTTTTACTCTTTAGTTTTTTTCCCTTTCTTCCATTCTGCAATATTCAAAATCTGCAAAAAACCAAAGCATGTAATCATGTGGAACTAGTGAAATTTTTTATACAAAAGAAATAAATTCTTCCCAATCATCCTTTAGTCCAATTGTTATAAATCTTATGCTGTATAAATTTTCTTTGAAGTTGTTTGAAGAAGTGCATTTAATTTTAACAATGTAACACTTAAGTTCAGTGTATTAGTGTCATGTATATTAACATAAAAGTAAAGAAAAACTTTGTCTTATTAGTGTATTTTCTTTTCCCAATTTACATTATTGCTGGACTTGTTTTAGTTTACACTTTTTTTTCTTCATCCTCCTTTAAATCTTCATATAAACGAGAGAGTGCTCGTGTTAGTGATATTTTTTATTCATTTTTAAATCCCTTTAAATGGCAAAATTCCAGCAATTTGATTATAAAGATATTTCAGAAAGGGTCTTCTGAATATTTAATTTTTGTGCAATACTCCAATCTTTAACTTCTGTCTAAGGCAAAAATGATTAAATAAAATAAGTATTGCATATTATCTTCCAATAATTTTATAATTTAAGTTTATTTCTTTACTAATTGTTTAAATTAAGAGAAACGTTTGTATAAGTGATTAAGGTTTCACTGTTCTGCTAAATTAATCTAAGAAAACATTTTATAAAATTTGCAATTATATTTTGAATTCTAGAAATTTTAACAATAAAATTTCTCTGCAATCAGTTACACTTAATATTTCTTAATTCAGGAGAAGGAATCATCTTAGATCAGAATGCTTTTATTTTACAACTGCAATTTTTTGATTGGCATTTAGGAATTGGCTGTATTCAGCAATTTCTTATGAACATAGTCAGTGCTAAAATGAGCAGAAAATAAATGTGAAATGTAAAGCTAACTTTACAGTAGTTGCAATGAAACAAGAAACAGAAATTTCTATCAAAATTAATGTTTCAAATTGCAGCATTTATTTATTGCTAATATTTCATCATTATTAAAAATTGGAAGAAAGACAAATTTCAATTTGTGTGGGTGTCTATGAAAAATCAAAACCAAGAATGCGGAACTTAGTTGAGAACTAATACACATTCTGATTAGAAGTATTCATTTTCAAATTAGTGGAATACAAAAGTAAATCATTTAATTCTGTCTTTTTTATTTTCATATTAGTTATTTCTTGTTCAGAAGATGTCATTTTTAAAAATAAAAAAAAAAATAATTATGATAAATGCTTTTAGAGGGATTAACTTTTTTTAAGAAAAATAAACATTATAAATCTGAGAATGAAAGGTTATGAAAAGTAAATTGTTGATGGTGAGATTTTTATAAATCTCCACTATCTCTTGGGGATCCAATCTTTTGAATTCAATTTTTTTCAGAGTTTGCCAGAGATTTGGATTTTTGAATAGTCTAATGTAGTGTAATAATAATGAAAGTATTTTAAAGTTTTGAATTTCTAATGCTCAGCAAAAAGTTAAAGCAATCTGTGACAAAATTAAAAATTTTATCATAGTTATATGTGCATTAAATATTGCATCATTTAATTATCTGTGGCAGTCAGCAGCAAAAAAAAAATAAATTATTTAAGAATTTGGTGTTTTGCATGGTGCAAAGCATTTTTAAAAGCCCTTAAAGGTGCTTTTTTTTTCATTGGAGGTTTTTGAAAAAATGCTTATTATTCTCCTTTTGAAAATTAGATTTTTTTTCTTTATCATGTCGATTTTTAACACGCATTAAACAAAATAGTAGTTTTCATATTGTTCTATTCAACAATTTCACAAATCATTCAACCACTATACATTTCGGTGTAACGTCGGTCCGTAGCGTATGCAAGCACTAATCATTTCGCACGTTTGATGAAATATTTGCGAGTCTGCATGTGCATCCATTGAGTTGGGTTAAGTGAGATTCTAGTACTCTCACTTTGAAATCGAACCGAAAATTCTCTTGATCTTTTTATAGTAACTAATATAATCAATAAAAGAACTTTGTCAGAAACTAGTAATTTAATATGATCATGTGAAGTCTTTGAAAATTATTTTGCATCTTGATAGTGTATATAGTGCTTAAAAATATTTTTTTATTGTTTAAAAAGTACTTAAAAGGTGCTTATTTTTTGTTGGAAGTTTTGACTATGCACCCTGGTTTTAAGTATATTATGTAGCATTGGAATTTATTGTTGTAGTGTAATTCCATTGTAAATTATTTAAAAAAAAAAAGATTTTTGCAAATTTGTGTGTAGGAAAGCAAATAAAATGCCACCAATCTTACCTTATAAGGGATTTTAACCTTTTGCTTATGGTTGATACAGTTAATGGACAGGCTTTACCATTCTAATTGCCACAAGCATAGAAATTATAAAAAATGCTTTTTATAATGATAAAAAATCAAATGATCCATTAACAACTTTGGATGATACATTCTTTTCATTTTTAAGTATGCATAAATATATATGAATTCTCTCAGTCCAATATTTTTGGTGGGTTGACTTGCTGTTATAAGTCTTTTTTAATGTGTTATTCAATTACAAAGTAGTGATGTATGTTTTGACCCAAATCAGCATTTGAAAAATTATAGGTCTATCCTTAGAAATAATAAAAGACAAACTGCTTATTTATACCTATTTTGTCCAACATTCAGACATACAATAATTTATTTACGATATATATTGCAACATTTAAAAAAGGACTTAGATAAATCTAAAAAAAAGGGTCATTTTGAATTTGATTGAACTAAACAGGGAGTCCAAATGACTACCCTTGTCATCTTGAATTGAAGATTAAATATTTACTTTTTCATCTTGTTCTCTTAAAAATAAAACATCAGCTTACAGGTTTTGTAGTTGTCCTGATATTCCTGGATAAAATATTTTGTAAATTTTAAGCTTCTCATCCTGATATTCATGCTTCTGTGCATTTGCTGATTATCCAATTCTCAGCGAGCACAAAAGCAATATGAATCATTAATTTGAAGAACCAAAGGATTTGGATTTTTGATCTAATATCGTTTTAATTATTAATACTAGTTAAAACCACAAAACTTATAGACTCGACAAAGTATTCACACTTCATTGTTTTAAACTTTGGAGGAATTCAGTCATTAAGAAAAAAACTCATTTAGCTGTTTTTGCATTACCAAATTTTCATGGTGATGTATACGGTGTTATACGCCTATTTACAATTTTCAGCAAACGCTGTTACAAATCTTGAACGATGCTTCACATTTTCGTGGTAATTTATTCACTTTATTTTTAAAATGATTTAATCAGCAATACAGTAATAACTTATTTTGAAATGTTGAGTTGAAGGATTATCCTGAACTTAAAATGTGAAGTGATATATGTTTTCTCTTTATCTTGAAAATTCGGAATTCTTGAACTCGTTTACAAATTAAGATAATTTTTGATATTTGTAAATATTAACTAGTTTTTTTCTTTCTTCCTTCTCCCTGCAACAGTGCTATGAAAATAAGTTTTTTTTTTTCTTTTGCGATAAAATTTACCTTAATACTTAAGTAGAGCAAATTTTACTTTTTTTATTTTGAAATGTACTCTGGCATATGTCTACTGATCCCAATAATGTCCTGATTCTTTCTTTGGCCCACTATGAAGTGTGATCTTAAACTCAATATTATATTTAGAAGGGGGGGAAATAAATAATAAAGACGTAACCACATTTTGAAAGAAATATTACATTAAACTTTCTATTCTAAATAAAGTAATTCTGAAATTAAAGATAAAAAATTATGTTTTGTTTTTCTTTTGTGATAAAATTTGGCCGTAATACTTAAGTAAGGAAAACTGCATTTTTTTAAAATTGGTATTTTTTTTTGTATGTCCTGATTTTTTCTTTGACCCACTACAAAGTGCAATTAATGTACTTGGCATTAGTCTACTGATCCAAATAATGTCCTGATTTTTTTCATTGGCCCACTACAAAGTATGATCTTACAACTCAATATCTTTAGGAAGGGGGGAAAAACGTATGAAGACATAACTACATTTTGAAAGAAATATATTTGTTTGAACTTAAGATTTGTTTGCGAAAATTCTAAACAATATGCAGTAATGGAATTGGTACAAATAGGTAGGCACAGTCATACCATTGTTTTTGGTTGAATAAATCTGCAGAAATAACTTTTGATATGACTTTGAACTTTTTTGCAGAAATAACTGAATAACTTTTGATTTAATAATCAGATCTTCACATTTCTAAGATCCAATTGTAATGGCTCAATGGGATGACCTCAAATATGCTAATTAATAAGTGAAGAAGATACTTTAAATTACGAAATCAGACATAACGCTTTCTCTGAATGAATATACCAATCTTTCCGACGGTTTCGGATTTCTGACCCCCAAAATAGGGCCCCAATAGTTAGGCCAGGAGAGCCCTCCAAATTTGGACCCCTTAATTTTACTTTTTGCGTATTTCGCTATATCTCAAGAACTTTTTAATCGAATTGATAAATTTTTGGAAAGAATTATAAAATTGGTATATACGAAGATATAAATGTATTTTAGTGTAAATTTATTATTTAATTTAATAATGATCGGAGAATACGTTGATTAGCTCCTGAGAAATTGAATTCCAAGGTCATATTTTTAAAATTCAATTTATCGGGAACTATTTGAATTATTTTGGTTAAATTTTGTATTTTGCCATGTAAATTTATACTTAAAATGATGCAAGAACTGGTATACCTTACAGTTCAAAATTTTTTCGAAAATTATTAAATAAAATAATAATAAATATTTAATGGTTATTTTTTTTACATGGAATTACCTTAAATAAACTAATTTTTTAATAGTGTGCAAAAATTTTTTAAATTCGATTGAAAAGTTTACGACATTTAAAGGAAGACTCAAAAAGTGAAATTAACATCCTGGACTGGACAAGAGGGACATTCTAGATAACCCACTTTTGGTGTCCAACTTCCTCCGGGTCATGAATTTCATGGACAATGTTTAACCCTGCTAATTTTTGGGATAAGGAAGAAGAGAAGAGAGCATATTTGAGACCCCCCCCCCTTGAGCCATTAAGATTGAGTCTTAAAAAGTTAAGATCCGATCATTAGATCAAAAGTTATTCAAGGTGGTCCGTTTTATGCGCACTACGTATACTAAGATGCAGTTTTTAGTTTAGTTAGAAATCACTATTAGTAGAGGAAAAAATATGAGAAGAATAAACTTAGGAGAAATTGGGACTTACAATATAAACAAAGAAAAAAATGTTCTTAATTAGAAAAGTAGTCCTCTAATCT